TGCAAGCTACGCTTACCTTTTTTCTGGCTCCCTGCCACATAGAACATTTTCTCTCCTTTGACTTTTAGTGTCTGAATTTCCTTTTGAGTTGAATATCAAGATCCATATTGATGGATCATGTCCCCTGATCCACGCTGCTTGTGTTTCTTTTTATTGGTGAAATTAAGCCCTCTACATTAATTGTTATGGCCAACGTGCTCTGCCATGCTATTTTCCTGCCATTGGCTGCCTGTTCAGTTGTCTGCCCTGCTTGGTGATTCTACTCTGCCGCTCTTCCTGGAATTGTGGGCTTTTTTAAAAAATCTTTTTCTAGAATGTATTTCAGTATTCTTTGTAGGGTTGGTTTGGTGGTCGTGAATTCCTTGAGTTGTTCTTTGTCATGGAAGTGTTTTGTTTCTCCGTCAGTTTTGAAAGGTAGTTTTTCAGGACACATCAATCCTGATTGAAAGTTGTTTTCTTTCAGAACTTGAAATACTTCACTCCAAGCTTTTCTTGACTTGATGGTTTGTGTTGAGATGTCTGCCATGATTCCGATGGGTTTTACTTTATATATGATCTATTTTTTTCCCCTAACAGCTTTTAATATTCTGTTCTTATGTTGAATTTCTGGGATCTTGATTATTATATATCTGGGTACAGATTTATTTTGCTTATGGCCAGCTGGAGTTCTATATGCCTCATCTATATGTATATCACATCCTATTCCCATGTTTATGAAGATTTCTGCTATTACTTCTGTAAGTGGGATTTTAATATCAGTTGTATTGATCCTTGATTTTTCACTCACACCTATTATCCTGAAGTTATTTTGCTTTGCATCATCTTGCAGTTGTTGAATTGTTATTTCCTGGCTCCTTGTTATTTTTAAGAGAACTTTCTTTACACGATCACAAGCTTCCCATCTGTCTTCAAGTTCTGAAAGCCTATCTCCAGTTTCTTTCAAGCAGTTTTGCCAACTTTCAGTGGAGTTTCTAATGTCCAGGATATCTCTTTGAATCTGTTTCATTCATTCTAAATCTCTCTTATAATGTTCATTCAAGGTTTCCCTCATTTTCCTATGCTCCTCCATTTTTTAAATCTATGTCTTCTTTAGAGATGCTTAGCAATTCTTTTACTGTTTTCATTTCTTCTTTTACCTGAGATAATATTTTTGTTCTAATTTCTTTTATAGCCTCATTAAATTGGTTCTTTACTTCTGTTGCCATCACTTCAGAAACTTCAGATGTGCGACCCCCCATGTCTTCCATGTTTTCATCTCCTGGCTTTGCTCTGCTTGGGTTGGAGTCCAGCGACTGTCTTCTGCTTCTTCTTCCTGACATTTTCTTGGGTTCTTCCAAACAAGTGGGCTGTGGGTTTCCATGCACTTCCTGCACTGGCTAGTTTCTCCAGAGTGTGGCTGTTGGGGTCTCCTGGCCAGTGCTGGCTATGGGTATCAGTGGTGGCCACTGGGTGCACTGGTGCTGGGCCGGCTGCTCTTTTTCCCAGCCACGCAGGGTACGTGGTACGGAAGCGTACAGAGGGCTGGTGGAGTGCACACAGGGGCAGGGCTGGCGGCTGCCTCCCTACCATCAAGCTGGTTACTTGTGGGCAGTGTCTTCTGGTGGATGCTAGAGTGCATGAGGGGACAGGACCAGCTGCTTCCTCCCCCTATTTTGTGTTTTCTGAAGCAATAGTCATTCTCCAAATTCTCTCTCATTTAAGCACCAGTCTTCATTGTCAGAGAATATTCCATCTGGCTGAAACTGAAGAGAACATTTTTTTTTCTAGTTTGGATCTTTATGCCATGACTGCCCACAAGATGGCAGTCTGGGCCAACCCTGCCAGCTCTCCAGCTTCCCTCCTAGTAATCAAGTATCCTCAGTCCTGCCAGCTTTTCTTATGCATCCTGGCCTTTGTCTTGAGGGGTTCTGCTGCCTAGTGGGCTCCCCCTTTTTTTCACCATTTCCCTTCTGCTCTGGAAAGTTCAGCTCACACATCTGGGCTGGAGAATTTTCTTTGACCCTAATGCCTCACTAACTTGGCTAGGACAGGTAGGACAGTATCTGTCCCTGACTCCCATCCTCTGGGGCTGTTTGGTGAATTTCCCTGAGACACATAAGCATATCTCCCTCTGAATGGCGAGGAAGGGGGACAGACCAAAGAATGGCAGGGACGCGTGCAGCTTAGGGGTGGCTGAGTTGGTGAGGGCTCACTACAAAGCAGTAGACCACTTGTCTTCTGAAGCACCGTGCAAGTTTCCAATGCCCTGTGCCAGGCTACTGGTTTATAGGGCACTGATTAAACAGCAAGAGCAGGATCAAAAGCAAGAAGAGGCAGTAGGGACAGTCGTGTGTTGTACTCCGCTCCCCGCCTGGCCTTGTCCAGAGACTGTTGGTCTCAGAAAGCACCGTCTAGCCACAATGGTGGATGGCTTTGTTGGGCTGCAGTTTGGCATGCAGCCAGAGAGGAAGAAAAGTGAACAGAGTTTGGGGCCTCAGGCAGGAGAGATCTTCCTGCAACTTAGAAGTTCTTTGAAGGCAGTGTCACCCTCCTGCTGAGGGAGCTCTTGATGGCCCTCTGGAGGTCCCACCCAGAGCCCTTGGCAGGTCTGGGCATGTTAGCTTAGAGACCAGCACTGCTGCTTTCTGGTTGTGTGAGACAGGGTGGTTTTCTTGCCCACCTGAGAGTGTCCTCTGTTGTGTCAGGGCTGTCATGGGAATCCAAGAAAGCAGTATTCTGGTGGTTTGTGGACATCACTGCATCCGGGGTCTGTCTTTCTTCTAGACTGACACCTTGGAATGTCCACAGACATTTCAGGCAGCAGCAGTGATAACACTGGTCCTTCCTGTCCTTGCCTGTGCCAAGCATTTCACTCTGTGGGTAGCACTATCTGGGTCCACGAGGCACCAACCCATGTTCCTCACATACATGGGGAAGCAGGTTCAGGGTGCCCGGAAAGGAGATGTACCCCAGCAGAGAAAGTGTCAGAGGGATTTGGGACTGCCAGGGAACCTGTGGCAGGAATGGAGCTGGGGAGGCCCTGGTTCCAGCCCAGCTCTGTGGGTGCTTGCTGCTCAGAGACTAGGCTGAGCCAGGTGACCGAACTCCCAGTCCCTTCCTCCTCCTGACATTGCTCATTGCCATGGTGATGACAATAGTAGCACCAAATATTCCTGACCGCATTGTCTAGGCAGAGCCCTGGGAGGCACAACACTCTCCTTGGTCCCTGTATCAGCTAAGCCCAAGGCAACACCTCCTACTCTGAGAGCTCCCTGCCACAAGGGCCACCCAACCCTGGCCAGGCCTAAGAATAACCCTCAGAATATCAGGCAAGTGGTAGATGCCCGTTGCTTGGTTAGGAATCTAGAAGTAAAGGGTACTCTTCGATGAACGTGAAGAAAAGCAGGTCTTGTGTGTGTGTGTGTGTATTTGGTTTGCAAATCTGTCCTTGCACGCTTCTGTGGCTGAGTTTTTGGATCTGTGAATGCAGTGTGGAGGTGTGGTGCATCTAGGTGCAGCCATCTCGGGGGGATTTCTGAGTGTCTTTGCAAGTATCTGGGCAGATGTTCTCGAATAAGTGTGCAGATAGGGCAAACTTGTGTGTGTCAGTGTAATGAGAGTGTGTGTCTCTGGGGGAGTGTCTGTGTATAGTATCTTGGTGTGTGTTAGTCGTGTGTATTTGGGGGCCTTCTGGTGTTCTAATTGCATTTGTGTGCCTGTGTGTTCACGTTCCTTTCTCTGTTTCTGTCTGTCAGTCTGTGCTTCTGTGTGTGTATATGTGTGTGTGTGTGTGTGTGTGTGTGTGTGTGTGTGTATGTATGTGTTAATTTGCTTAGGACTGTCTCGGTGTTCCTGGGTTGTATGTGTGTGTGTGGTGGATCTATGTTGTGTGTTCACCTTGTCCAGACACTTGGGCACCTGATTTCCAGGGGAGGCTGGGGCAGTCCTGTCTGTACCTGGTTGTCTCTGTGGTTGAGATGACTGTATTTCTGCACACCAGAATCAGGCAGATGCTCATGTGATTTCTTCAGTGGTAGGTGAGAAGGGGACAAAATGTTCTTCTCCCACACCAGGCAAGGATCCTCCTGTCCCTGCCTCTCTCAGCCCCCAGTCTCCCTGGCAGTCAGATTTCAGGTCCCAAAGACATGGAGTGGTGATCAACCTCAGGCCAGGACCGGGGGGCTCTGGGTCCCTGGAAAGAGTTAAGGTGAGAAAGGGTGCTTGTCTGGAGAGAGGCCTGGCCCGGGCAGTGCTGGGTCCTAGAAGAATGAGTAAGATCCTCCGGGAAGAGTTGGCTGGCAGAGCTTCTGGGTTCCTGGGAAGGAATGCATTTGTAGGTGTCTGTGGAAAGTCTGGGTTTGGCGTTCCTACATCCCTAGGAAGGGGGAGAGATCTTTGTAGGGCTCCTTAGTCCCCAGAGACTGAGACTGGACTTGAGCACAGCAGTAGCATATTTTGCAACGAAAAAGTGGAGGACCCATTGAAGAGTGGAGGGAGGAGGTGGTTTTGCAGGAAAGTATAGTCACCAGGCCAGAGATGGCCTCCTTGTACAACCCCTGTGGCTTCACCCTCCTGTAGGATGAGCCTGTGGGACAGCAACGGAGAACCTTTTAGAGACGGAGTGCCCAGGCTGCAGCCCCAAACCCACTTAGCTATCTAAAGTGCCAACACTGCAATTCAACCCAAATACTGGGATTTTAGTTAGGGAAAAAGAAAAGCAAAACAAAACAAAAACTTATACATTGATGGCTTTTTTTCTTAAAAGAAAAACAAAATAGCACATCTGCCAGATGTTCGTCATCACTGCCTCAGGGGCCAGGAGGAACCTGGAGTCACACAGAGAACCCTTTTCAGACCTCTATGTCCCGGATACAGAAACAATGCTTGGATTCCCTCGGATGCTGGTGCCCCAAAAGGAATCTGGACCCAGGTCTCTCTGACTGGGGGTTAGGGATTATTACAGAGGGAAGGCAGTTAGCACAATCTTGTTCACACAGCAGATGCACAACACCAGGCCATGGTGACTGAGGCCATTAGGACTTTATTACCTGAAACCCCAATCTAAGAGCTTGCCTGAGCCCTCTAAAAGAACAGGACTTCAGAGAAGGCAGTACTAAACTTAAATAGGGGAGCATGTTGGACCACAGCTCTCCCGAGGCCCCTTCCAAGTCAATCTCTTCATGTCTCCTGCATATCGAGGAAATGGAGGGTGCCAGGAATTTGCCCATAGTCAGGGGTGGACGGTCCTGGTTTGATTGCTGATTACTGCTGGCCAAACTCCCTTCTCCGAAGTTCTTGCCGTTTGATCTTGCCAGTGATGGTTTTGGGCAGCTCTGGGACAAATTCCACCTGGTTGAGGAGACAGCAAGTCCATCCTGACATAGGCCTGCTATTCCCGGGCCCCCTCCCATTCAGGCTGACTCCACTGGTGACCTTTCTGGGGTCCTCGTCCTGACCCCTGGAGTCAGATGTGGCCATGTGATTTGCTTTGATCGAAGAAATATGAATGGCAATGAAGCACGTCCCTCTAGGCAGGAGTGTTTAGAGCCCCTGGGACTGGCCACCCTCTGCTTCAGCCCTTATAGCACCTGGAAGGTGTTTCTGTAGTGGTGTTCTTACATCCCAGTCCCAGGATGAGGGGATGTGGAACAAAGGCCCCCAAAGAGCCATGGTGGCGTACAGCATGGGCAAGGAAGAATCCTCCCTCAGGACAGACCCGCAGTGCTTGGAGCGATGTGCTCCCCACTGTCACATCTGATGCTCCCAGCATGGTGTGTTCCACTGGGGAGGCTGCCTCGCCTAGTGTCAGAACACAGACTCTGCTGTGGGACACACCTGGCCCTGAGTTCCAGCTCAGTCTCTGACCCAGGCAGCCTCAGGCAGTTGACCTGGAGTCTGAACCTCGGGCTTGTCTTTGTAAAATTGGGCAGCTATACAGCTTTACGTTGCAGTACTAAAGAAAGTATCAGTGCACATGGAGAACTGAATTCAGGGCCTGGTGCACATAGTAAGTTCTCAGTAAATGTCAGTCAGGCAGTCTCATAATATGTCCGCATTGGTTGTGAATGTTCAGATTGCAAAAGAAAATACTGACAAAATTGTCTTTTTGACAAAAGAAAATACTGACTTATTTTAAACCTCTCTGTCTCCCCTCTTCTTTTCTCTCTGTCTCTCTTCAATGGCTATTGAAATTAGGACCTTCACACTGAGCTACAACTGCAGCCTCTCCCATTTTATTTTAGAACACTTTTGCTAACTCACTAAATTACCCAGACCGGACTCAAACTTGGGATCCTCCTGCCTCAGCCTCCCGAGTGCTGAGATTACAGGTATGTGCCACCACACCTGGCAGACAGCTTCTTTCGAAAAGGAAAAAATGATTGGTCGACTAAGTGTCCCCTCCACAGTCCCAGGCAAGGAAGGCACCACTGAGCACCAGGAAGTGCTCAGAGGAGGCAGCACGCAGTCACCCGCCCATGCTCACCTTCCGCGGGTACTTGTATGGTGCTGTCACTGACTTCACGTGCTGCTGTAGCTCCTTGATGAGCTGGTCTTGGTCATGGGACTGGAACGGTGGGTTCAGAACAATAAACGCTTTCACCACCTGCAGGACAGAAACAAACACAAACTCTACTGTATAGAAACTCTGGGAAAGCAGAAGCCGAGGTTTGCATCTGTCCTCCCTAGTCCATACCATGCGTTGGAAAATGACTCGATCCCACACTTGGGATCGAACCCAGATCCCTCACACTGAGCTGCATCCCTGGTCCATTTTCATCAGAGTCACGTCTTGCTCAGTCACTGAGTTGGCTAGACTGCCTGGAACTTTCATATTTCTGCCTCAGCCTCCCCGAGTGCTGACAATACAGGCAAGCGTCACTGTGTCCAGAAACTTCACCTTAAACTTCTTCTCTGCGAAGCGGGGTGCACTCCTCAAAGGCTTTCTGCAGATTCCATGAGATGGTGCACATAAAGCCTCCGGCCCGTTTAAACGGCTCTCAAACCCACCATCATTACTATTCGCATCGTGGTCACATTTATTGTGTATGCAGTTCTGTATCTGGCATCCAGAAGGCTTAAACAATTGCTCATAATTATTTTTACTTTATTTTGTAACCTCAGTCACACAAGTCTTTGTACACAGAAGGTGTATGATTAGCACTTGTAGCAGTGAATGTGTGCTCTGGGGCCACATTGTTTACAGTTCTGTTCTGGGTCCACCGCGTAGCTGTGGCTGAACGCCTCTTTCTTTACTTACTGAGTATAATAGGAACCCTTAGGTTATTGAGTTTTGTGAGGCTTGGGTGGTTTGGCGCGTACTAAGTGCTCACCATATACGAGGCTTCACCATCGCCTTTCCAGAACTCAGGTGGCGCCACAGTGCCACCTGGTGGTAACCACCTGTAAGTGCATGCCCGTCCTTCCTCCCTTTTAGGTCCAAGGCTGTGTTGAGCTGGAAGTGTCCCGTGTGGGCTTTTCTGAGCCCCCGCACAGCCAAACTCCACGAGGCCCTCGTCCTCACCTCCCCTCGCGTCGGATCCGGGCTGCTCACCACAGCCGACTCGGCCACGGCCGGATGCTCTGCCAAGGCGTTCTCCACCTCCATAGGCCCAATGCGGTACCTGCAGGATCAACCCAGCTTACTCTGGGCCAAGAGCCAAGGATGATGGGCAGAGCCCCAAGCCTGTACTGTCCTGAACGGCCAGTGACCTGTGACTTGCTTGTACTTTGGGCCCCAAAAGTGAAGGCTTGGACTTTCAGGTTGCCCAGTCCCCAGCTTGGTTGCTCCTGGACTTCTCTTTGGACTGTCCCTGCTGAGGGAGGGGACAGGTATGTGTCCCCCAGAGCTCGGGTCCTTGATCCAGGCAGCTCCTTGCACCAGATCTAGAGCTCTGGAGAGCCCTCAGACAAACAGCATCCTATCCCCCACGATGCCCCATGCTTTGCTTTGTCTCTTAGTACATACATAGAGATGGTGAAATGATGATCACAGTCTAACAAATGAAAGAACCCTGGCCCCATGTAGATAGCACTGAGGGGCTATAAAAAGCGCTTGTCAGTGTGGTGAACATTTTGAATCTGCTATCAGCAAATTTTCAGTACCTATGGGGTGTGATAGAGAAATATGGTGAATGTTTAAATTAAAAACAATTATAGTCAAAGCACATTGCCCTGAGTCCCCCCTCCTGGGCTTTAATGCTCTTGTCCCATTGTTCTTGCCGCCTTCTGAACTGGCTCTGGAAGTTCTCTCTTCTGTCTTCCGCTGCACTGTTGAGGCTGCCTCCATATCCTGAATCTATCGATATTCCTGATTTTTCATGGTCATGTTGCTTTGGGGAAGGGCCAGAAATTGCACAGCACCAGATCTGGACAAGGACGTGCTGGCACGTTTCTGTAAGCCTGCCTTTAGTTGGATGGTACTTGGAAGCAGCATTCATTGTATTTTTTTTTTAAATCATGTCTTGTAAAGACATATGATAAAAGGCTTCCGTAAGTGCTTCAGAAAGTGGCCAGGACACTGGGATATGAGTTTGGAGTGAGGAGGTTACTGGCAGTGTGTCTTTCACTGCAATATATTATAAAATTTAAATATTCACCATATGCATGATCAGAGAGAGAGAGAGATTTTAGAAATTTACAAGTAGCTAGAAGGAATAAGTTCTGTTGTTCTATTTCATAGCAGAGTGATTATAAATCATAATAATGTATTACATACTCCAAAATAGCTGGAAGAGAGGTTTTTGAGTGTTCTCAATCCAAAGCAATGATAAATGTTGGAGGCCATGAATGTGCACATGACCCTAACTTGTTCATTACGTTACGTACAGATGTATCAGTGTATCCCATAAATATGTATAAATCATTACATACAAATTAAAAATGAATTAAGGCAATCTCAATTTTTCTGAAATATTCAAGAAAAATGCTTTAAGAAAAAATCTTGTAGGGGTCTAGGGTCAGAGCCAGGCCTCCTGGCTTCCAGTCTAGACTCCTGCCTGAATTGCCTTTGAGACTTCAGGCCACATCTTCACCGGCTAGTGACAAGTTTCCTCAGTGTGAGGGGGGTAGCACTTCATCTTCCTGCTAGCTTGAAGCAGCTGGTTACCTACGGTGCTAGGAGAGCATCTCCACATAGTGAGCGCTCTGTAACGCTTAGCTGCTGTTGCTGTTAGGTTTGTTCTGTGACCTTCTGTGCCACAGGACACCAGCATGAACATTAAATAAGCGAGCCCAAGGGACCAAGGCATAGTCTCCCGTCCCCATCTGGCCCCCTTCCCTTTAAACATTCAGGAAGGGGATGTCTGATTCACCTTCCTGAGTGTCGTTTTGATTGAATGTTGGCTGCAGGTGTGGGGCAGGTGCACAGGAGTCAGGGTGAGGCTCTGTCAGCATTAGACTGAGGGTCCCAGCGCCACGGCAAGATCCCAGGGGCCAGCGCTGGGCCAGCCACACCTACCCAGAGGCGTTGATGACATCATCATTCCTCCCCAGGAACCAGAAGTAGCCCTCCGAATCAATACTGGCTTTGTCCCCTGTGTTGTAGAAGTCCCCACATTCTACCTCTGCTGTCTTCTCTGGGTTATTCTGCAAAGAGAACACAGCCCTTTTGTGGAAGGCAGAGAGTTCAGAGACAGTGAGCTCTCAGCCCGGGTTCAGACGTGGCCTTGTGTTCAAACTGTGACTCTACCTGGGGAGGTTTGGTGGCTCCTCAGAGTGTAATTTCATTACATGGAGGAACGCAGTGTAGGCTGCTGCTCAGCTAGGGGATGTTACAGAGCCCATTGCAAGGACAGTTTTTATAGTGAAGGACTCATCTCTGTGTGGCACTCTGCCTGCTGGGACAGCATCTCCACAACTAGTGTGCACCCTGCTTATTTTATTTCCCGCTGTAAGTTTGTTGTGGACCTGGACAGATGAGAGGGGCCAGTGTGCAGGGGCTGAATGCATTTCCTTCACTTAGTGCTACTCCGCTGGATCCTCACAGAAAGTCGTGAAGAATTTTTTTAAAATAAACTTTCCATTTTTAGATAATTGTAGGTTTGCATATAGTTTAAAAAATTAATACAGACAAATCTTATGTACTTTTTTTCTGTAGTACTCTAGCTTGAATCGAAGGCTTTCACACTGAGCTACATCCCCAGGCTTCTTTTTTCTTTTTAAATTTGAGACAGGATCTTGATAAATCACTAAATGAGCTTCAGTGCGATCTTCACGCCTCGGCCCCTCAATGTGCTGGGAAGCCCTGAGTCACCACACACAGCCTACTCTCTCCTTCTGTGAGACCAACTTTTTCGGATTCTGTATATGGTACAAGGTTAGCATGTGGTATTTTTCTGTCTGTGGATTGTTTCAGCTATGTAATGCTCTCTAATTTCTTTCATACTTCTTCAAGGATGTTATACAGATAGAACTGTACAGTATAGAGCCTTCCAGGATGGGCTGCTTTTTCTCTCTTCAGTGTCATTCTGTGGACAATCATTCAAGTTGCTGTATTTGTAAATAGTTTGACCCTTTCTACTACTAAGCAGAATTCTGTGTTGTGACTGTGCTTCAGTTTTGTTTATTCATTCAGCCGCTGAAGGATGTCTGGATGGTCTCCAGTTTCTAGATGTTGTGAATAAAGGTTCTGTGGTCACTTGTGTATTCATATGAAAGTGAATTCACGTGAGCCTGGCATTTCTAAAGCCTATTTTGTAGAAGAAACTGATGTTCAGAGAATCAGTAAACTGGTCTTGTCATTTGAATTTAATTCTGGCTTCGTAGTCTATTCATTTGACATCTAAGCCCTCTTGTATGACAAGAAGTGATTGTAAGAGGTACCTGAAAACACAATAAAAATGTAGATTATGTCTTGTTTTGAATTAATTTCAATGATTGATTACACCAAGGAGATTATTCGCTTAGTGTTGACGTGTTTAGAAGCTCTGAAAAGCATTAAGTAGAAGAGTAAGCTTTGGGATCAGAGACTTCAGCAGGAACAGAGTTTAGTCAAAATTTAAAATTTGCTTTTTTAAAATTCTAATTATGGTTAAAAATGCTGTCTGATTTTGGCAAATGATACTGTTTTCAATTTCTGATACTACATTGGATTTTCAAAAACAAATATTTTCAAACAGTTAATTTAAAGAGAAGTATAAACAAACATTACTTATGTAAAAGTAATCATTATAGATGTTAATATGAGATGTGATGAAAATTGTGACCATTTTAATTAAAATATTTATTACAGTAAAATACAAATGGCCATTATTTCACCCAAAAAACTCTATCCAAAATACCTAGAACACACTTATTCTGTCATTCTGACTGTAACAGAAATTTAGCTGAAATTTAAAAATCAATTAGCAGCCTATTGCTATACCAAGATTTGCTCATCCTGCCTGTCACATAATCAGACTGCTAACCTCAGTCAGCCTTGACTGTCTGCATCCAACTGCTTTTCACAGATAGCTCCTCAGGTCAACTGATGTCCAGTGGTGATGTGTTACATCACCTAAAAATATATCCTGTTTTTCCAGCATGTTTTGTGAACTTTCTGCCTAGGACAGACTGGCCCAGTCAAGGACACATTTAACTTTCCCTTCTCTGCTCAATACGCCTTCCCAGAATTGTCTTTATGACAAACAATTCCTTTTAATTAAATTTGCTTAAAGCATGTCTGCCTGACAACGTATGACTTGATTCATGGATTCAATTATGTAATAATCTGTCATCAGCTTACACACTTCTTGCTTGAAAATTCCATATCAGCTGAACTGAATGCTGACTCAGGGCTGGAGATCTGGAACCAGATTTCCTTCAGCCCACAAGTGAAATAAATAGTTTGCCTTCCAACTCCATGATGCAAGACATCTTCCTTTTGGTTTGCTACTGGGTTTTTGCAATATTAGCGCTTTTTGAAGCAATCCTGGAAGTTGTTTTTCAGCAATGTTTTCACAAGAAGTGATAAAAAAACATGGTGACCACTGCTGCTGAGTGCCATCCAATGAAAGGAAGGATCATAAAAGTATGGTCGTGTGTCCTCATCCGCCTTATTCCCTGGATTTGGTACCATGCACCTTTCGGCTCTTTCCCAAAGTCAAAATGAATTGGGCACTTTGAATTAATTCTGGATTTTAAAACAGCAAGGATAGCACAACTAAGGACATTCAGGAAAGAAGACTTCCAGAGCTGATCCAGAGATTGACAAGAATGAGGGACAAGTGTATTTGAAGTGAGGGGGCATATTTTGATTAAGATGCATGGCAATGTCTTTTACTGTAATAAAGTTTTAAAATTTAAACATTCACCATGATGTTTGATCACACCTCATGGATATGGAAACACAGTGGACAAGGACACCAATGCTGGGAGTTTAGGAAACAGTGACCAAAGAGGAAGATGAAGTTCCAGCCTGACTGCTGTCCAGCGCAGCTGTGTTTCACTCTGGCCTCACTGCCAGCCCTGGGCCCAGCTCTGCTCTCAGGGGCGTGAACTTTCTCGAGGCTAATCTTCTCAGGGAAGGCCTGAGGCTGGGCCCTGAAGAAGGGCCCTCACATTCTGGGAAGGGATTCTTACCTCCTGGGACCTGGATATCTTGGAGGGGCTCACTAGGCGATCCTAGGGAGATTCCTGAGCAAGAGGGGATACCACACAGAGGTGGGCAGAGTCCACTTGGCTTTCAAGAACCCGCTAACCCTTGCCTATTTTTGAAGTCTGCTACTGGGAAATAGTGCTACGAAAGCAGTGGCTGGGAAGTTCCAATTTCTTGCTCCTCTACAGAAACATCAAAAACAAGCAAGCAAACAAGCAAATAAAAAGAATCAGTCTGAACTGACGTTGTTGTCTGGGAATAAAGTGTTGTCTTACAACAACCAAGCAAATGTCCCATCAAGAAAAATCCACCTTCTGAATGGCAGGAGAATTCTTGGTGCTCTCAGGCTGTCCCATCCTTGGTCACACATGGCAGGCAGGGTTTTGAGCAAGGGACAGCCTGGCTCCCAATGTCCTCCTGTCCCCAGTGTAGGAAGCAAAGCACCTGGAAATTATTATGTCCTAATTGCTCTGGGGATACCTGTAGGGCTGATGCAGGGTGCTGGACTGAATTAGAGAGTTGGGAAAAGCAGCAGAAAAAAGGAGAATGTGATTTTCAGAGTTACTCAGAATCATGTCACAAAGCCAAAAGGCCCAATTTTCATTAATCAAAACACAGTCAGAGGTGTACAAAGAAAAAGGACAATGTGGCGAACGGAATGCTAATGGACAGAAACCGTCTGAGAATCCCAAATACTGCATTTACAAGAAAAATAACTTAATTGTGTTCAATATGCTCAATGAGTCGAGAAGGAGGGAGTGGACGAAGAATTAAAGGAATGAACACAAGGAGAGTATCAGCAAAGGTAGAAATTACAAAGGAGGGCCACGTACCAATTCTGAGGTGTAACAACTGCAATAAAAAACTCACTAGAGGGTTCGCAGCCTATTAAAGCAGGCAGTGGAAAGAGGGAATGGAAAACAATGACTGAACAAATGAAACTGGAGGAGCAGAAAAACTGTAGGGAAGGGAGTAGAGTTTAAGAGACTGGTGGGGCAGATGGTAAAGAGGGAGAACAAGCCAGTGAGAGTTTATCCAAAGAAACAACAGAAAAAATCTCCCACTTGGAGAAAGAAGAATAAAGCAGATTAAAAAAGACAAGTGTATGATTGCATGTATATGAAGAATATAAAATGGACAAATTAATATAGAAAAAAAGTAGATTAGACCTAATGATATGGGGGTGTGTGGAGGAGGAGGAGGAGGGTGTTATTTAACTAACAAATACAGGATTTCTGTTTAGAATGGCAAAGATTTTCTGGAGATGGATATGGTGATGGTTTCAAAATTATTAATGAATGACACTGAATTTTATGTTTAAAAATGGTGGAAATGTAAATTTGTATCATATTTCACCTCAATAAAAATAAAAAACATGTTGATTTCTTATTATCATTGTTGATTTCCTGTTATCTTGTTTTGAAGCCCTCTATGGTTTTCATTGTTTTGTTTTGATTGGTTTTATTCTGCTCTGTTTTGTTTGATTTTATTATGTCTCATGGTATGGGCAGCTACTGTGAAGATAACATGAGACATTATGGTACCATTGTTGATCTCCTGTTGTCTTGTTTTAGAGTCCTGGACCGGTCTCGTTGTTTTATTTTGATTTGCTTTGTTTTGTCTTATTTTGTTTGGTTTTACTCTACTTAAAATTTTAAAAAAGTAAAAAAACAATAAGCAAAGGACAGGACTAACGTAATCTTTGCATGTTATGGCCTGAAGAGGGAGCTGCTTCTCTGTGGTAAACATTTTCCCAAAACAAAAGGCAGGCCTTAGCTTAATTCTTACAAAAAACAAAACAAAACAACTCAAAAACCAAAACAAACAAACAAACAAATATATATATATATACATACATATATATATATACACACACACACACTATATATATATATATATATATATATACACACATATATATCGGCTAAAATGTATATATACTTCAGCAGTTTGTTGTACTAATGAATGTCTGGGAGCTAAGGGCCATTGCTTTAAGCACCTGTTGTAATTGTAAAGGCCAAAGGTAATGTGTTAATCTCATGATGTCTCAATAAATTTAGTATTAAAATATTCAAAGGTTTTCCTCTTCTTGACATGTACTATCTATTTTGCAGACTCTGTATCTATTTCTCTTACATTATGCTGTACCTATGTTATATAGTGTGTTAGTGGCTTTGAGAACCACTGGGGTGTGTGTGTGTGCATTTCTCAAAGTTGCCTGCACGGTACAATCATTTAAGATGCGGGCAACATTCCCTTGAGACCATTGTGTGTGGAGAGTCTGACACCAGGAAAGCGTCCAGGGGACAGCCTTTGGAGCACAAATATGGGGTCAGAGATCTGTTTCGGGGTCTGGTCTCCCTTCTATAGCCAATCAATCTTGTAAGCCAAGATTTCCCTTTTGTGGCCTCCACCTACCTGGGGCAGTCGGGTTGTTTCTGATGAAGAGTTTCAGCAGGTTTCTTGGTGCCCACTCTGGATTTCTGCATCCCCTGGGTTTCCCATTTCGGATGTGAGGGGCCAAAGGCATGGAGTTAGACCCCAGACCTACTTCTTATTTGACATGGTAAAGACATGTGATACTTCCAGCCTATACACTCACGCTCACAGTGCTCTCTGGAGGTTCAGTTAGGATAGGAGATTGGTTTACCCTATTGGTAAAGGGGGATGGAATTATCTGAACCCAGGTGAGGCCTATATTCATGACCTCAGGATACACAAGTCTGGTTTTGGAAGCCAATCTACATTCTAATCACCAGTTAGCTCTTAAGTCTCACCAGAGTTAGGATAGGCAGGGCAGTGTACTGTGAGTTGGAGTGTAATTGAGTGTAACTAAAATAGGCTGCATTGAGCAGGGGTGAATCAGGACGAACTGAGGAAGTGTCAGGATGCAGAGCTCCTGCTGGGAGTTTTCGGGCTGGGATGGGGGAGACGGGGTTCTATTACCTCATAGCACATGAAGAGGCCTACAGGCCTGGTGGGCTTGATCCTGACTCCAATGTTCCCTTCAGTGTTGGGTGGCAGGACGTTGCCCTTGTCGTCGATGATCTGGAGCAAGAAGCCTGTTGAACACAACCTAGAGGACTCCCCCAGTCCTTCAACCATGCCCAAGCACTGCCTATCTCATTCCTGGGATACCCACAGGGAAGACATGGATCCATAATGAAGATGTTAGAAAATGGAATAAGACTGTCAAAAGTCTTCAAAATCAGCGAATGTGGTTTTGTTTTTCCTTTGGTACCGGGGATTGAACTGATGACCTCACACTTGCCAAGAAGGCACTTATGCCACTGAACTAAATCCCTGGCCTCTTTTTTGTTTTGCTTTTTTGAAGTCAGCAAATGTGAAATCCAAGCCAGAGGCCCACTTGTCTCAGTGGTGTGAAGACATTGCCAATATGCCCTCAAGCTAGAAAGCATGGACCAAGAGAAATGCAAACAGCTGCCAGTGCTGTGTCCAATGCTTTCCTTCCCATGCACTGTGTGTGAAGTCTCTGGCTGCCAGGCGAGCTGTACTGGTGCTCATCGTCATGCAGTTCTCAACTGAAGCCTCTGTAAAAAACTGGAGGAAACATGGGGGTGGGGGGAGAAAAAAAGACAACCAGGGCAGGGAAACATGGCTGGGTCTGCCAGCTGGTGTCCCGAAAGGGTCTGACCTCAGCTGAACTCTCAATCTCCCTGCCAATACCCTTGAGTCTAGACCTGGACGTCGAAGGGTGAGATGGCCTTCCCCAAGGAGCCCGGCTTGATCTTCATGTCCTGGAAGACACCGCAAGTAATTCCCTGTTTATGAAAGACACATGATTGGGTGTGGCTGGAGAATCCAGGTTGATGGCAAAGTAGCAAGAGCCCTCCCTGCGCTGGGTCCCAGCCCCTGTCATTTGATGCTACCCTGAGAGCCCTTATTGGGGAGCCAGAGGCTGGGATTCAGGCTCAGAGACTGAAGCGACTTTGCTCAGAAGACATGCTCTGCCCCAGTATGGACTGAGTCTATGCTAGGAGCGGCAGCTCTGAGTGCCCAGTGAGGGAGGCAAATGGTAAGCCCGAGAGCAAGGCCAAGGCTGGATATGGCATGTGGCAGGAGTGCCTGCCATATGTCAGGCACAGGCCAGCTTGCCAGGGGAGCACCCTGAGTTCACTTCACACACATTTACTGGGGGCTGTTGAGTTTTGACTGGAATCCTGACCAAGCTCCTTCTTGAGGTTGTGTTGAGACTACTCAGATCTCTGTACCAGTTCTCTCTGCAAGTACTTCTCACCTATTAGATTTTCCCAATGGACTTGAGCCCTTTTCAACCATTCTTTCCTTATCTTTATGTCAACAGCTGAATGCTTCACATTAGACAGACCACTGTGTGCTAACTGGGCCTATGCCTTTGAGCTCCTCCTGCATAAGAGGGGGATATATGTAACACCTACCTCCACGGCCCTTGCAAGTAGATGGGAAACTGCCCATTGTGAGCCACACACCCAATGTCCAATGAAGGGAGACACCTGCTAGCTGCTCCCCAGCCCTCAAGATAAGTCACTTGAACATTTTTCTTCTGTGGTATTTTTCCACATACAGTTCTTACACTGTAGCCCACAGAATGCTCAAATTTTTTTGCTTGTCTTTTTCCCTTAGTTAATAACAAGCATGACAAGAGTAGAGGTTGTCCCATTAGCTTCTGTGCTCTCGGATTTGGATAGAATACCTACCCAAAAATACCAATGACCATAGTAACTTCAGTGTGAGCACGGGCTATGGGCTAGGCACTGGCAAGACTGGCATTGGCATTTCCATTTTAGAAGGCAAAGTTGGGACTCACTTATGGTCTTGAATTCTGGAATGAACAAAGCTGAGATGTGAACCTGGGACCAGGGAGAGGAAATTCTCTCCCCTCTGTCATGGCACTGCTTACACTGCAGGTGGGTGGGAGATGAGTACGGCCGGGGAACAGATGTGAAAGGGCTTCGAGAAAGAGACCACCATCGATTGTTGCAAGCAGCTGTTGTGGAGGAACTGGGTCATGGGTCATGAGTGGAGCATGTTGCTCCAGATATAAACTATCGGCCATTCAACGGCAGACCCAGAGTCTTAGCACTTTTTGGGTCTGCAAGTAGATCAACTCCCTGATTAAAAAAGTTAGATAAGTACATGAATTAGAAGTGAAATAATCAATTTGCCATAAGGCCTGGCATGGCAGTCATCTTTGTTAGCTAGAAGGATAATGGGAAGGTGGGAAAGTGGCTCTGTCCAGCATTGGAAATGAATTGAGAATGTGCTGGAAGAGTGGGTCCCTTCTATACTGTCACTGGCATTTGACAAGTCCCTGAGGGACTCATGATGCTCTAAATGCTAGCTTACTTGGCTCAGTGACACCCTGGGAACTCACTGTGTGTGTGTGTGTGTGTGTGTGGTATATACTGAAAGTCTGCCCCTTATACATCTCTGCTAATATCCCAGTCAAGTCTGGGTATGCTATCCTCCTAGACACCCGGAGATGAACTTCTGAGCCAATTCCAGCCTGCCTCTGCATTCTGTCGTCCTGGAATGGGACGGTAGGGCTGTCGTCTCCACGTTGCTGGAGAGATCCTCCTACCCTACTGCCCCTTCAGGATTCCCCTGAGCTAGTGATCACGGTGGCAAAATGTTCCTAGATCCCTTTTTAAGCTTTGTTCAATAGTTTTCAGCATGTTGTTCTCTTGATGAGTCGATGAGCTGTGAGTTATCTTCCTGCAGATTAAATTGTGGCAAATTAACTTTGAACCCTGGAGATTTCTCTTGCTTTGAGTAATGCTATGCACACCTTGGGGCAATGACACAGAATCATAGCAAGACTCCACCCATCAGCTGAGCACCGTGACCAAGCATGTCCAAATGGCCCAGAAAGGGCCCGTGCACCTACCGTTTCTGACTGCCCATAGATCTCGTGAAGCAGGATGCCCGTTCGTTTATTCCACTGGTCAAACTCCTCAGCCAGCAGAGACTCCCCGCCAGTGTGGCAGTACTTCAGGGTGGGGAACCTGAGACTTTGGGGAAGACAAAGGGACCAGGTCTTGGCTGCGCAGCACACGCAGAGCTCATGGCGTGGTCATCCGAATCACTTATCCTTCTGCTCCTCACTTTGCTAGTTCCCAATTGGTCATTGGCCTGATGGTCAAGGCCAATTGGGTGCCACTCTGTCACTGCCAGTCCTGGTTATGTCTTCTGGCAGAGAAGAGGATGTGTAGGTGGTGATGTATTGGGTTAAATCAGAGAAGTTTGCATTAAATTTGGCTTTGACATCATGCGAGGGAGAACAGGTGTTCATCAAAACTCATCTCAGGAAAGCATTCTGTGCATCTAAGAAACCTTAAACCATAAAGCAGGGAGGGCCAGGACCCCAGGGGACACACTCTAGTGACACACTCCCCAGGGGACACACTCTAGTGATAATAGATTTATACTGTCTTTTGTGAGTGCAGGGTTATATTAACCGAAGGACTTCTGTATTTCTAACTAGGAAATGGAAGCTGAGGTTTGGGCATCTTCTGCTCAGGACATCAGGGCAGATGGGGCAGAATGTAGGAAGAGTCACAGGAAACAGAATTTCAGACAGACCAGTGAGGTCTGATGCGAATGTTTACTAGTGACACCACGTGGTGTAAAGTTTCTCCTCCGTTTTCCTCATGAAGTTTCCTTAAAGGAAACAAAAAAGCATTGCAAAATAATGACTGGATTCCCTAAAGCAAATGAGGAGAAATGGCTCAGGTCTGATCTAGCTGGTGTACCACTATCTCCCTCTTCATCCTTTCTGGGACAGAGTCAAGGGAGATGGACAGAGGTTGGTCCACTGAGGAGGTCTTACTGTTCCTCCTCCTCCCAGAGCTCTCCCTCCTGTACAGAAAGTGGGCAGTCTTGGGGGAGGCACTAAATGTGCACCGCTGAAATTGTAACTGGCTTTGGACAAAGGCCATCAGCTGAGGGATGTTGTAAAAATTAGCAGAGTGCTCGGAAATACAGATGGAAACAATTCCGCCAGACTCAGGCTTCACAAATAAAACCAAAGAGTAATTCAGTTAGCTTGGCAATGGTGTTCATGAAACTCCTTCACAGTTATGGGATAAGCTAGCTTTGATTTTGTGAAGTGACCATTTCAATTTCAGAGTCTCTGAAAAATACATAAATGACCCTAAGGGTCAAAGAGCACATTTCAGATTAGCTAACAACCCTCAAACACAGGGAAAAGCAAAACAAAACTGCCATGAAATGATGTTACACATCCATCAGATTGCAAAAGTTAACTTTGACAATAATGACTGCTAGTAAAAATAGAATCGTGGACACCATCCTATCTCACTAGTGGGAGCATACATTGTGTGTGGTTGTGTGGTGTGTGTGGCGTCAGTGGAGCCTAATAAGTCTCCTAGTAAAACTCTTCAAAAATGGATGCTTGTATGCATCAGGGAGCCTGTATGAGAATTTACTGAAACATTAATCATAAGATTCCCTTGTGGAAATGGCCCAAATCTTTATCAGTGGTTGAACTCCTAAATACTATATTTTCACAAACTGGAAAATTATATAACAGTAAAAATAAACTAATTTAGGAATATGCAACAACATGAGCACATCTTAGAAAAGTAATGTTCAAAAAGCCGAATGTCATGGAAGAGTATATTATTAGATATATGAAATTCGTAAGCATAGAAAATGGTGCTATATGTTCAGTGGTACTGCCTTAGAAGCTATAATGAAAAGTGGGGAATTATGACCATCATTCATGATAAATCAACTTGACTGGATTAAGAAATGCCCATGGGATTAGCAAAGGGCATGTGTGGGCGTGTCTTGGTGGGTCATGGGCGCCTGGCCTTGGAGTCTGTATCTGACCCCTTGCCCCTCCTCTCTGACACTCTTCCCCTGCTTGGCTTTCTGGCCCCCTTGAGCAAAACAGCTTTGCTCCACCGCACCCTTGTACTGTGATATTTCTGCTTAGGCCAGCCAACCATGGGCTGACCCCCTTAAACCAGGGCCTCAAATTGAACTTCTCCTTGGAGATTGTTGGGGATAGTGTCTTGGTGACAGGGAAGCTGATGAATACAGAAGCAAACACTGTAACGATTGAGAGTGATTTCCTTTAGGAGAGATGAGAAGGCATGTCTGGGGGCTGGCTATCTTCCATTTTTGTGATTTGGTTAATTGTTATAGTGGAATTTTAATTTTTAATAGTTTATTATCTATGTATTTCCAACTGATGTACTTTTCTGAATGTTATTTCATCATAAAAAAGTGTTCAAATAAACCCACAATGCTTTAAGAGTCAGTGTTTCTCTTGGTTCTCTGGATCACACTTTCAATTTAGCTAATTAGAGTGATTGAAGTTACCACCACCACCACCGCCACCATTGCCACACACACACACACACACACACACACACACACACACCTCAAAGAACCAGAGAAAAAACAGTTTTCTCATGGCACATCAAATCCCTTAAAATCCTATGCAAACATTGTTGTTACCAGCTACTTGCACATACTTGGCATCTTTCTCCTGTAAAATCGCTCGAAATACAGCTGGTGCAGCTAGGCAATGGGTGATGGGGTATTTGAATAGTACCTGGAAAGTGAAGAAAGGAGGAATTTTTATTTGTTTTCTTTCTTTCTCTTTTTTTGGAACTAGGTATTGAACTTTGGAACTAGATCTTGTGTTTGCTAGGCAGGCGCTTATGCCACTGAGCTAAATCTATGGCCCTAGGAGGAATTTTTAAAACAATAGTTAAAATTAAAAAAAATCAGTCAATTATGAGAATTTTAGTTCTGATGTGCCTTCTAGGAGAGCCCATTTTCCCATTTGTTAGTTCTTCCTATATATATATATATATATATATATATATATATATTGGGCATGAATTTCACTTATGGCATATGCTGGATACCGTCAGGGGAAATACAGAATAAGATAATGTTCCAGATCTTACAGAACAGATACTAACAAAGGAAATACAATAGGACTCAAATGATAAGACAGAAGTTGGCAGATGTCATAATAGAGGTTTGAAGATGGTTCTATGAGAGTACAAAAGAGGGAAATAAATAATCCTGGTTGTGCGGCCTGGGGGCTTTTGAAGTAGGTGGCATTTGGTAGGACCATTAGCACGCGGACAGGGTACTTAAGGCAGAGAAATGGGGGAAGATGAAAGGAAGTAAGGCCCAGGAGTGGAAGAAACATTTCAGCCAGCCAGATAATATCACTTACTTACACACAGAGGAGAGGAGCGAGGGCCCAGGTTAGGAGGCTGAGGTTAGTTAGGTCCTGTAAAATCCAGCGATTTTACAGGAGAAAGATGCCAAGTATGTGCAAGTAGCTGGTAACAACAATGTTTGCATAGGATTTTAAGGGATTTGATGTGCCATGAGAAAACTGTTTTTTCTCTGTTCTTTGAGGGGTGTGTGGCAATGGTGGCTGCGGTGGTGGTGGTGGTGGTGGTAATTTCAATCACTCTAATTAGCTAAATTGAAAGTGTGATCTAGATAGGGGCCAAAGTGTCTGGTATTCATTATCACTCATTAGAGATGGAAAGTTTCAGAGGTGACAAGGTAGAGATGGGCTAAGAGAGAAAGAAACTGCAAAGAGAAGGCAAGGTAGGTTGGGGGTCTATCTGACGCCAGTCTAAATTTCTGTAATTTAGGTTTCTTATCTGTAAAATGAAAATATTCACATGCAGAACCGTGATGAAGGGTGACAGGATGAGCATGTTGGAGATGATCTGCCCCCACTTTCTGTCCATCTTTCTGGGGCCCAGTCAGCTTAGAATCTCTGCATTATCTTACATTCATATTCTTTTTATAAATTTCAGTTGGGTGTCAGCTCTATTCACTATTCCCACTGCACAGGGAGTCTTTCCATGTCCTTGTCCTGTCCACATGCATCAACGTGTCTGGTACTTGGCTCCAGGCATATGAGGGTGAACTGGTGGTTTGGTGACAGGCAGCTGCTTTAGGCTGGGTCACTCAGTCTCTAGTTCCTCTGCCCTGGTTATATTGGACAGGGAAATGCTAATTCAGAGGTGATGGGTGCCTTGTGCAGGTGAAGACACAAAAGTAGGTCTAAGTATAGAAGGGGGCAGAAACATAAAGAAAGACAGAGGAGACTCAGAATGTGCTTTGATCCTTGGTGTCTTCCTGAATGTTGCTCCTGACTCTGGCTAACCTCAGTTACTTTTCTTTTCTTCCATGATCATGAGATGTCTCAGTGTCTCCGACCCATACACAGATGGTCCTTGACTCACAATGCTTGACTAGCAGTATTTCAGATATATGATAGTAAGAAAGCAGTGCATATTTAGGAGAAACTAAGTGGACTTCCAGCTAGTGCACTGTGTTCTAAGACAGAATGCTCAATATTAAATGCAATAAATACATTTTAAAATTTGGATACTCAATTTATAGTGGGCTTTCAGAGTGTCATTTCATCATAAGTAGAGGAGCATCTGTGTTTCCTGTTCATTAACCAGCTTTGAGATGGGGTTGTGTTGCTGATAGCCAAGGGAACACTGCTCGATAGCTAAGGGCTGGAGATCATTGGTGTTGGTGCATTTTTCATGACTTGGGGCTTAGTAGGTGCTTACCAAACATAGGCTCTGGTTATTATCATTTGAGTTATAATTTAGGACGCATCTTGGTGTTTTGAAGCTTTTAGTCAGATTGTGGAGCAGAGAACAAGAGTCTTTTGTAACAGATTCAGCAATAAGAACTGAGTGGAGTGGGTGGGCAGAGAGGAAATGAAGAGTGCTTTGTTTCATGACTTTGAAGAATAAATTGCTACTTAAAAATTATAGCCAGTATTTCCCATCTTTAACAGTAGGAACCAAAAACAAAGTACTTCAGAAATACCCAGTATCAAAATATACTGTAAAGCCCTAGTAATAAAAATGTATGGTAATGGCACAAAAATAGACATGTAGACCAATGGTATAGAAAACAAAATACAGAGACACACATCTACTTCTTGGGTCAAAAATATATTTGAGAGAAAAGATAGTTTCTTTAATAAATAATGCTGGGAGAATTGGCTATCCATATGTAGAAGGTTGAAAGATCTTTCTCACTCTACAAAAATCAATTCAAAATGAATTAAAGACTCAGGTATAAGACCTTAAGCTTTGAAAGTACTAGAAGAATCCATAAGGGAAGCACGTGAAGCCATAGTCATAGGACTATATGCTCCTAATAGCACAGGAAATAATAGCAAGAATTAAGAAATGAGATTACATCACATTGAAAAGTTGCTGCACAGAAGAGCAAGCAACAGAATGAAGAGGAAGCCTACAGAATGGGAGAAAACCCTTTGCTAGAGATTGTTCTAACAGAGGATGAATGTGCAGAAGATAGAAATAAAAAAATTTAACACCAAAACCCCTAATCAATCAATCAATGAGAAAATATTTCTCAAAAGAAGTACAAATGCCCAACAAGTATGGAAAAACTGTTCAGCATTCTTAGCTATTAGGAAAATGCAAATCTAAATTGCACTGAGATTCCATCTCATCCCAGTTTGAATATCAAGATATCTTGAATATCAAGAAAAAGAATAAAGAATAGGGATTCATACTACTACTGGGAATGCAAACAAATACAACCACTGTGGAAATCAGTATAAACGTTCCTTAAAAATCTAAAAAGCAGAACTATTAGTTGATCCAGCAATACCACTCCTTGGTATATTCCTGATAGAATTGAAGTCAGCATACTGTAGAGATACCTGCATACCCATGATTACTGTGGTATAATTCACAATACTAAAAACAGTGGGTACCCATCAAAAGATGACTGGACAAAGCAAATGGGGCATAGGTAAACTATGATTCACCCATAAAAAGCTTTAAATTTTGTCATTGGCAGAAAAATGGATGGAACTGGACATCATCATGCCCAGTGAAATAAGCCAGACCCAGAAAGTCAAGTATCACATTCTTTCATATGTAGAATCTAAAGCAAGTAAAAAAAGATATAAAAGCCACAAAAGTAATAAGTGGAAATAAAACAAACTCCCAAATTTTGGAGGGTGAATTTATAGAAATTAATACTTTTTAAATTACTGAAACTTGTGGTACCCAAAGATCTTGGGGACACCCTTGTAGTAGAGGAAGAAGTAAGTAGGCCTGGTGGGGCCAGAGAGGTGCACGCGCTGTAAGTCTCCATTCAGGCTGCGGCACAGGAGGGAATGATGGTGAGGCGGGCTGCGTGGTGTGAGGGTGGGGTGTGGACCTAGGAAGTGCAGTCAGGGTCCCGGGAGGATGGTCGCAAAGACCTGACTATCAGGGCCACGTGGGTGGGATGAGCCTAGAGGGAAAAGGAAAGGCCCCAGGCAGTTTGGAGAACCCTTGCCTTGGTGTGCTTGCTGAAGAAATGGAACAGGAGGGGAGAGAAGAGAGAGGAGAGCCAGGGCGGGATGTTGGCGGGGGTGCTGCGGTGTTCTTGAGTAAGCTGGGCAACTCCCAGGTGACTGCAGCAAGCGGAGAACGTTCTGGGAAGGTGCTGATAGTTGAGCTTGATCCAATATGTGGTGCGATCAGGGAAAGACATTTAAGGAGGAGGTCACTGACCACGTTGTGGATGGAGGGAGCAGAGCTGGTGAAAACTGATACAGGACATCAAAAACACGGGAAAAATTGTTTAACAGATAAAGAGGTGCAGACAGAGGCTGCTGTGACAGGGGCAGGGGAGAGAACAGAGTGCTTAGCAGTTGTGGGAGGGGTGTGTTTAAAACGTGGAGTGGCAGGTCTGACCCTGAGGGAAGAAAGCCTGTGACAGAGATGCTACGAGAATTTTCCACCGGAGAGAGGAGCAATGGAGGGAATTGTCGCAGTGATGCTACTTGATGCCATGATGGGCTCATAACAAAAGAGCATCAGTGGCCAAGCCTTACTGGATGTTTTCTATGTGCTGACCAGGAGGCTAAGCCCTTTACACACTTTCCCTGTATCATCATCTCATTAATATTTGTAATGACTTTATGGACTTGTAGGTATTCCATTTTACAGATAAGGAAATTGAGGTTCTCTTAAGTGACCTGCCAATAAATTTCAAAAATGGGATAAATTTAAAAAATGGGATAATATGCTAAATCTGTCATGTTTTAAGAGTGTTTTTTTAAACATGCTTTATTATTGTGAAGAACCAATACACACAGGCACGTGCACACTCAAGTTCTCTAGCTACCTGGCATGAGGAAAGCCTCTATCCAAGGGACTCAGACTTGTTGTGATTGCTGTAATTTCTGAAAATGCATATTCGGGGCCTCAAAGCCACAAAATTTGATCCTTAGGTCAGAGAAAGGGCCTAGAAATAAGCATTTTCTCCCAGGTGACATTTTGATGTGACTCTGGTACAGTGACCCTGATTCATGTTACACACTGTGAGGATCCCAGAACCAAGGTTCTCTTATGCATATGGGCTTCTTCGCTTAATAAAATATTTCCCAGCCAGGCTGAGATTTTGGTTTGGATACATACATTTCTTCTGGAAGTTTTGGATATTGGGAATTGGATATTGGTCTTCTTACCTTTATAATGACCTTGGGGTCAAACTGGGGCATGTGGTGAATGAAGAGTGTAGAGCCTGTTGTCCATGGCTCAAACAGCGCGCCAACAGCAGCCAGAATCCAGCCTGGGTCTGATACACACCACAAGACATCAGACTTCTTCAGCTGCATTAATTTCCTGCTAACTCCAAAAAGCAGTGGCCTCAGCTGTGCTGTCACAGGAGGATGTGGACAAGGGCTGGGAATCTGGTTTTCAGCAAAGGAGTTACCCGCTCAGCTCATGTGAGTTGTGTGGGGCTCAAATGAGCACCGCCCCTCCCCCCCATGCCCGTCCAGAAGGACTACCACCAAGCCATAGCTCCTGATCACATGTGACTCAAGGAGGTTGGTGCTGCTGATCCAGAGGCTTTTGCTAGGAATGGTAGGGCAATGTCTGCTGCTTTTCTGCTGATATAGTCCTGATGCTGCTGGGTGACAGTTATGCACAATAAGGGACAAGACTTTCTGAGAATAGAATCAGGATGGCAGAAATAGAGCTGGAAGATGGAGAGACGAAACACTTTGTTTGGAGTGTATCCATTGTTGTCTCAAGCTATGTTTATTCTGCTCTGGTTCTGAGTCAACAAATTGTTTTATTTAGTCTTTGGTCTAAAAGAGCTTTCTGTCATTTGCAGTGAGGGAGGGAGAGAGAGAGAGAGAGAGAGAGAGAGAGAGAGAGAGAGAGAGAGAGAGAGAGAGAGAGAGATCTAATTAATGCCCTATCTTGGCAGGAGACTGGAAACAGTCAAAGGGTGAAACTGGAAAGCAGGGTGGGAAAGGTCTCTACTTATCTTCCTGTTTCTGAGGGAACTCTGCGAGCCCATGTCCTTTAGAAATGCACAGTACTCCTCTTACCCAGCCACGGTTTGGGGTAGCTGTTCTGTTGGCAGGAAGGAGTGTTGATGAGCTCCAAGCTCTCATATGCTTTCTGTCTTGGGTCCCTGGCACACCTACAGGAAATCACTAGCAAAGCATCCTTTGTTTTGAGCTGTAGAGCCAGCTGATCACTGAACGTCTCTCCTGAGGTGTGTCTTAGGCACCCCCAATCCAGAGATTTTAATATCTCTTGCCTCTTTCAAACTGACTCTCCTCTAGTGTTCCCTGTACATCAGTGAATATCATCACTATCCACGCTCCAAACAGGGGGGTCAGTCTTGACCCCATCCTTTATTTCCCACATTTAGCTAGCAGCTCCTGGCCACCTCCATCCTGTACCTGGACTATTCTAAAGGGTCTACCTAGTCTCCTCAACTTCCATTCTTTCTCCTTTGCTTCTCCATTATGCAGCCACAGTGACTTTTGCATGAAAGGAAACTGATCATGTTTCTTCACCACTAAAAAGTTTTCACCATCTTCCCATTTCCTTCCTAATAAGGTCCAAACTCTCCAAAGAGAGCCACATGATCTGGGCCTTGCTCAGTTTTCCAACTTTTCCTGTTGCTCCTGCTCCCTGCACTCTGAGCCTCACTCTCAGATATCTGTAGTTCCAGGGACGCTACTTCTCTGTCTTTGTCTATTTGTGCATATTGTTCCAAAAGCACTGCCAGCTCTTCCTTTCTTGCCTTCAGGAGTCTTTCTACTCAGTGTTCATTAGCACTAATAACTCTTGCCCACAAGAAGCTGTCTCTTCTCCTTGTTCTATAAGTTAGAAAATAAATAGGATTTGATCTGGTATGAATATTACTAGTGGGAGAAAAGGAGCAGTGGGGGAGGAGAGGTTTGAAATAGATTAAATGATTAACTCAGAACTAGAACTTCTGTCCCTTTGTTCTTGGGTCAAGTTCGGGCAGTGACTTGGGGTAGCTCCAGGCCAGTTATTTTCCTCCCTAACTTTCTGGTTGTGAAACTCCAAGTCTGATTTGCCCACAGAACATTCTTTCTTTCCCCACTAAACTGTAGGACCACTGTCTGAGACACAATGGTTTGTCCTTTGTGTGGCTTGGAGACATTTGCTATGTCTATACATGCTTCCTCCACACCTCCTCTGAAGTTATCCAGCTAGGACCAAAAAGAGCTTCCTTTGTTACTCCAAAGTCTTTACCTCCTTAAGATTCCCTTTCTAGCCTCCACCTCTCAGAAATTCAGTCTCTCAGAAACCAGAGAGCACAAGAGAGGCACCAGATAAAAGCACTTTGGTTTAGAGCTCTGCCCCACCTGCCATCCCACACACATGTACACAACCCTTGCACCAGACCCAGGATCCAGTATATTCCTACCATGTAGGGAGGTAGGAGCGCAAAGCAAGCCCATGGTTGTGTTTTGCCATCTTCGGGAAACCTGTGGTCCCACTCGTGAAGAAGATGGTCATTGGATCCTCCGTCTTTGATTTAATACAGGTGTGCTCTGGGGATGCCGATCTGCAAAGAGATTCAGGACCCGTGAAGAAAAAGTCATGCATTCTCTCCCTGGAAAGAAGCAAGGGAAGAAATGTGGGGCATGGAGCCAGAAAATGGGGGTTTTGCAAGATTATGGCTTCCCCAGTCTCAGGCAGCAAAGTGACTGCATGGCTCTGCTGGCCAGATGGACTGGTATGTCTTTAGTTGACAAGTGGGGAAACACAACAAACACTTAAACAGCATCTGTAGGTTTCAGGCAGTGCTGTAAGTGCCTGATAGATAAGAACACAGTCAATTCTCAAAGTGACCAGGCCTATTTCACAGGCAGAGAAGCAAGCCTAGGCTTAGAGAGGGTAGGTAACTTGCTGGGAGGCGTATGGTTAGAGAGTGGGGCAGAGCCAAGATCAAACCCAGACAATCTGAGCTGTGACTGAGCTCTTAACCACATGGATATACAAACTAGCTTTATAGGAATTTTAAAAATTCATATCACAATCTTTTTATTAATGTATATAAGTTGTACAGAAAAATGAGTTTGATTTTGGTGTATTTGTACATGAATGTCACATACTTTGGTTACCTCTACCCCTCTATTACTGTCCTTTACCTTCCTTTTTTTGTCCCCCTGGCTCCCTCCCATCCAGAGTAGTCTCCCTTCTACTTGACGGCCAGTTGCTTTTTTTCTGTAATTTTTGTTGTTGTTTTGTTTTCAGAGTCTGCATATGGAGTTTGCACTTTTTTATTTTTTTTGGTGCCGGGGATTGAACTCATGACCTCGAGCTTGCCAGGCAGGCGCTTAAGCCACTGAGCTAAATCCCCAGCCCATAGAGTCCACATATGGAGAAAACATGCACTATTGAGCTTTCTGAGTCTGGTTTATTCCCCTCAGTTTTTCTTTATAGATGCATGATATTCTACTGTGATACAACCTTTTCTGTGGCCATTCATCTATTGCCAGGTACCTTTGCTGGTTCCTTATCTTGGCTACTCACCATGCAAATGCAGCTCTCACTGAATTTGACTCCATGACCTTAGTGTTGAACAGCGAGGAGGAGAAAGTGAGAGGGAGAGAGAGGGAGTGTTTCCATTGTGCTCTGGCTGGAAGGTTGCCTCAGTCTGCTGGGATTCTCAGGAGCTTCTCCCAGACTGAGGCTCCAGGCCTTTTCTGACTATAAACACAAGCTTTCGATGGTATCCAAGCAAAATGCAAAGAAACTCAGTGCTGGAGGAAATACTGGTTCTGCTCAGCAATTGTATCACACTGATTCTGGGAAGTTGGCTTTTCCCAGAGTGTTCTTGATGGTAAGCTGTCTTCATTTAGTTCTCTGACTGTAGCACAAGATATCACTCTGCTGTGATGTTTGCCTTTTGGGGCTGAGATAAAGAGCTTTAGAAACTGAGATTTTACCCAAGGCCACAGCCCCAGCACCTTCGTGTGTGTGGTGGGAGGTATGCCTGCATGCTTACTGTATCAGGTCTTCCATTCCTCCAGCTCTTCCCTCATCTTGCCTGGAAGGTGTCTCTAAGATACCCAGTTCTTAGAACATGCAAAGGCTTGCTCTGGAAGCTGTTGGCCAACCACAGCCACAATTCAATTTGTTCTGAGACCTCAAGCTTCACCTTAAAAATATTTGTCTTCATCTTTTACTAAATTTCTTCATGTAGGCAAGGTTTTTATCATAGTGGAGATTGAACCCAGGAACTTTGTACTGATCTGCCCCATGACCTTTTTATTTTTCATTTGGAGACATGGTCTTGCTAAGTTTCCCAGGCTGGGCTTGAACTTGAGACCTTCTTGCCTCAGCCTTTCAAGTTGCTGGGATTATAGGCATGCACACCATGTCCAGTCACACACACACACACACACACACATATATAAAAATAAGATTTTAGATTCCCTACCTGCAAGAAATTGGTAAGACAACAGCCCTTTGATTTTATATACCCTCTTTGCAGTCTACAGGGTGAGTACACTTTACTGATAGAAGCATTTATTTTACAAATAAGAGACTCAGACAGGGGAAGGAACAAGCCTAGAGTCATGCAGCAAATCAGTGACACATCTAGGAAGAGAAAATTTCTGGCATCTAATGTGGTGCGTGTCCTCCCATTGGCTGTGTGTCTCCTGTCAATTGAGAGTGAAAGGTCTTCCACCATTCCTTATTGAGAAACCATAGTCATCAGACCAGAAACTCACTTAGTCAGCGATCGAAGGTCCAGCCACCCACTAAGGCTGTGCTCGGAGACCAAGAGCTTGGTTTTCAGAGCAGGGCACTCTGAGGCCACAGAGTCTACCTCTGGGGCAAGAGTATCCGTGGTTACGATGGCCTTAGAGTTAGACATTTTTAGTCTGTAGAAAATGTCCTTGGACTTCAACTGAGTGGTCCCAGGTATGAAGATAATCCCTGGGGATGAGAAAGGAACAGCTGTTCAGTGTCTTCCAGAGCCACAAGCTTCAGGCCTAACCTGTCTGCAGAGAAATGTTCTAACTTCTGCTGCAGAAAGTATGGTCCACAGGCTCATCCTAGCAGCACCTGAGAAATAGAATCTCTCACCCTGGGCTAAACCTCTCAACCAGAACGTGCATTAGTACACGATTTCTAGGTTATTCCTGTGTAAATGGAAGCTCAAAAGCCTCTTTCTCCTCCAGTCAAAAGATGCAAACTGCTCTACACGTTTCCATTGGAGCCGAGAACAGGGTTGTGAGTTGGACAGGATCCCTGACAGCCGGGACAAGGGCAGCCCGGCTCCTCCATCTTTCTCTTCTAGCCTCTTCTCTTCATCTCATTTCACCACAGTGAGTTCAAACCTTTAGCTACCTCTGCTGAGTCTTATCCCTTAACCGAGCAGCCTGTTCTGCCCCATCGAGTTCCATAAAGCATTGACTTTTCCCTGCCCACAGTTCTTCACTGCACCAACAACAGGAAGACACACACCTCATCCTGACACTGAAGGTGTGGCCCACTCTTTCTTTTTCTCTCTCTCAATTCTATCTTATATTTCAAAATGGCCATCCTTCATATAGACTACACCTTTGTTTCTAATCCTTTTTAATCCTGCTTTTTTCAGAGGGCTCACAGGCTATCTCTTCTTAGCTTTATTCATGGTATGGACTTTTTCTCTATGTTTCCTCTGCCATTGCTGTTAGTTCTTCCAGATGACCTTGTCAAATTAATCAATATTTTAAGTTTTTAGAGAATAAAAGAGAGGGGATGAGCGTAACAGAGTACTGTGTGAGTATGCATGGTAGGAGGAGAGAGATGATTCAGAAAGAGAAGCCAGGAGTTCCTTGCTGATTCTAAATTATAGAGCTAAAGCTAGATAGATGACTATGAGAGGAAGGGAGATGTCGCCAGAGCAATTCTAGTTAGTTGGTGTTGAGTATTATACAAATAAAAAATTACTGTGTAAAATCATCATAGTAATAGTAAATGCAGTCAAAATTTATCAGCGGATACTCAAACCATAGGTGTCCAGCTGCTGGAGAAGAGGGAAGTTCATGCATTCTCATCCAGATTACTGATAAGGAGAAATCCAGTGACCATCATCTTACAGAAACTATGAAACAATTATCCCCAAGGATGGCACAGCCTCAGTCCATATCCAGGCCAGTGTCACACAGTGAGAAATACACAACCTTGCCTTGTTAGTGTTCCTCCCAAAAGTCTTGAACCTAAACGCAATCAGGAAGCCTCCTACTTAAACAATTTGAGGTGCATGTAGCAATTGGCTGACACTCTTCAGCAGGTCATTATGATGCAGAAAAGAGTAGGGAATATTCTAGCTGAAAGGAAATGGAGGAGACATAATGGTTAATATTATGCACAAAGTGTGATTCTCAGTTGGGTTTAAAGCAAAAAACTGGCTTTCAAGGATATTATTGGGTCAGTAGAGGAAGTCACTAGGGATGTATTTCAGGTAATCATATCATATTAATGTTAGCTTTTTGAATGATTATATGGAGAGAATAGCTTGGGTTTTAGCAGACATGTGTTTGTATTTATAGGCAATTATATGGTATTTGTAGATGTCACAATGTCCACTTCTGATTCTTCTGAGATTCAGTGAGAGAGAAAATTACAGAGGCAGAGGACGATGAGAGAGACAGTGTACTCAACTATGGAAAAATGTTAGGCATTGAATCTTTTTTTAAAAAGTGAGAGTAAGTTTGAGCAAGAGAAAGTGTTTTGTGGGTGTGTGTGATAGAGAGATGAGGAGAGAGAGAGAATGCATGGCATATGACTAGAGAGTGTATGAATGGAAGAGTGTGAGGGAGAGAGGAAAAGAGAACAGGAGTATTTGTGAGCAGTGTGAGAAAGAGACAGGCTTGAATAAGAAACAATGAGCAGAAGAGAGCTGTTACTCACCAGGAACCTAATTCTGTGGTCCCCGATCAGAAGAGATAGCTGGATCCTCCAAGCTGTTGTGCAAGGCTGGATGTACAGTACCTAATGTCCCTGGACTGACTCCAAGCCAGCCCGAGGTTCACAAGGCACCCAAGTCACTGACCTGTTCGGATGCAGCTGAGGGCCACCAGCCACCACTCAGGCACTCGAGGCAAAATCAAGGTGAGGTGATCCCCCGGCTTCAGGCCACAGGTCTGCGTGAAGACGTTGGCCATGCGACAACTTAGGTCTTTTAAGTCTCTGAAGCTCCACTTCACCTCGTCTCCTTGGGTGTTTATCCACCAGAGAGCTGGTTCTGGACCTCTTTTGCCCTCCTAGTGAAGACCAAAGTTACACATCACGTGTTACTTCCTATTTGAAAGGAAAAAGCTGCTTCTTTGGATAACCCACTGTCGGAGCCACATTCTATAACCTAGGGACTGAGATCTTATTTTAAAGACTTCTAGAAGGAAAGGAAGATGAGGGGTTGTGTTAACTCTGACAGTTTCTCACCTACTGTAGCTACTGTAGTCCAACTCAAACCATGTAAGTCCATGAGTGACCTTCATGTCTATTATTGTAGACTTACACTTATATTTCTCCATATGTCTGTCTTAGAGCCATATGGATGGAAAGTCTCTTTTCTGTTTTCTCAGCTACAAAACGTGAACAAAATTACTGCCAAAAAAGTTGTGGAATTTAAAAAAATTACTTCTTTAAAACCCAAAAAGTTTAATTGTAATTGTAAAAAAGAGAGGAAAGGAAGGTGGTCTAAGGGATATAACTGCATGTATGTTTGAGTATGTAGGAGGGAAAACCATATTACTGAGCTTTTGTTGGATCATTGAATGGAACTGTCTAAAATCTCACTGTATGAATGTCCACTTTATATGCTTTAATTTTATAATTTGGACAACTGTTTCTAAGATGACAATATGTAACCTATTAACTAGTGATTTTAAAAAAAATTTTATTTAAAAAGAAAAAGAGAAAAAACAAAACAAAACAAAGTAGTGTAAGGGTACAAGTAATACAGAACTACAAAAAAAAAAAAACAGTAAGAAATCACCAGTTAATAGATTACACATTATCATCTTAGAGATAGTTGCTTAAGTCACAGTATCAAAGCATACAAAGTGGACATTCAAACAGTGAGACTGCAAACAGTTGTGTTCAGTGATCCAACCAAAAACATTAATATGGTCATCTATTTAACACCCTTAAACACACTTGCAGTTGTATCCTTTAGGGCACTTTTTTCCCTCTCTTTTTTACAACAAAATTTACACATTTTGGGTTTTATTACTCCTTAGTTCTTATTACTTTTTTTTTTGGAAGAGAATAAAGTCAAATATGGCAAAACAAATCTGTCAGTCAAAACCAAGGATAGACATAGCACATGATGTAAAAACAGAGTACAAGGTTATCAACAATGGTTACCGTAATGCCTATTGCTTCCTTAAAAAGAATTGTCTATCTCATTAGGTATTATAAAGTTGAACAAAACAGTAGAGAACAAGACCAATAAAACCTAAACCTTATAAACATTACAGGACTTCCAAAGAAGATAATAGTCAAACCAGAATGGCCATCATAGTGAATCTTATTGCCTTCAAAGTAGTTGCCTAAACCCTCAAACTTGATACTATCATACACAATGGAACAGAGTCTAATCAGTCAAAACAAGATAGTGGGAGTATTACAAGACTTCAAATCAAGTTAATAGGAAATCAAAAAAGTTACTATAATATATCCTGCTAATTTTTTCGATTTTTCCCCTTAATTAAAAAATCATAAAAAGTAACTAAATAATTTTTTTAATGAATAAGGGAGAGATTGAGATAAAAGAGGACATAACAACATAACAATACAGGTAAAAGCATGACTGTTTCAGCAACCTAGTGCTTCACCACCAAATAACCCGACTTAATAGTAGTTACCATAGTGTCTTTTTCCTTGAAATATTTGAATATAAATTCATATACTATAGCTTCAAATATTTCCATATTAAGCAGCCCAGAATAAAGCCATTCCAATTAATAAGTGAAAACTTTATAAGGCTTCAAGGCCACATACTGGGGAATCATGATTACCACATACTTTTATATATTTGAATCATTACTTACATTAGGGAAACTATTCGGTATTCACACATGTGAGATTGATTTATTTCACTTATGAGTATGGTCTCAAGCTAAGCCCATTTATTGATAAATATCTCAATGTGATCCTTCTTTATAGCTGAGTAATACTCCATTGTATAGAAATACCACAACTTTTTTATCCATTCCTTAGTTGATGGACACTTGGGTTGTTTCCAAGATCTGGCGATTACAAATTGTGCTGCTATAAACATGGGTGCACATATATCACTGTGGTATGATGCTTTCAGTTCTTCTGGGAATATGCCTAGAAGTGGAATAGCTGGAACAAATGGGACTTCCAATCCCAGCTTTTTGAGAAATCTCCAGACTGACCTCCACAAAGGTTGTACTAGTTTACACTCCCACCAACAGTATAAGAGAGTTCCTTTTTCCACAGCCTCTCCAGCATTTGTTGTTGTTGGTTTTCTTGATCCTGGCCATTCTTTCAGGAGTGAGATGGACTCTCAGTGTGGTTTTAACTTGCATTTCTCTAATGACTAATGATGATGAACATTTTTTCATGTATTTATTTGCCATTTGTATTTCTTCATCTGAGAAGTGCATATTTATTTCAGATGCCCATTTTTGGATTGGAGCTTTGAATTTTGGGGGTCTGAGTTTTTAAAATTCTTTATATGTTTTAGACAAAAGTCCCTTGTCTGAGGGGGAGTTCACTAAGATCTTTTCCCAGTTTGTGGGCTTTCTTTTCACTATGCTAGAGATTTCTTTTGACATGTAGAAACTTTTTAATAAGAGGTGGTCCCAGTTTTTGATTCTGGGAAGTATTTCCCATGCGGTTTGAGTCCTGTTCATGAATTCTCTACCTACTCCTATGTCTTCAAGGTTTCTACCCAATTTGTCTTCCAATAGATTTAGTGTTTCTGTTTTAATTTGAAATCTTTGATCCATTTAGATTTTAATGTAGTACATGGTGATAGGCATGGGTCTAGCTTTAGTTTTCAGCCAATGGAGAGCCAGCTTTTCCAACACCATTCATTAAAGAGACTGTAGTTCTTCCAGTGAACCTGCTTGGCTCCTTTATCAAAGATAAGGTGATTGAGTGTGTTTGTAGTTGTGGTTGTATCTTCTAATCTATTCCATTGATCTTCAGCTCTGTTTTGATTCCAGTACCATGTTGATCACTCAAAAGTAGATTGTTATAGCTATAGGATGTTAGATATAATCCACACAGTAACACAAAGAAAATATCTGCAGAATACACACTAAAGGAAATCAAACTATGTCACTGCACAAAATCAACTGAACACAAAGGAAGGCAGTAAGAAAAGAAATGAGGATCAAAAAGCTACAATACATGGAGAAAACACAAAATGGCAAAGAAAAGTGAGAGTTGTCTGTCTTGTTTTTTTTCTATAAATATTATTTACAACAACGATGGGTAGAGAGCAAATATTCATGAAGTTTCATTTGAATGAACGAAGTCTGTGAGAGACACAATGAACAAATGCTGATGTGCATATGATCTCTCACAAATAAACTGGGGGCTGTTCCAGGAATCCATTGATGCTGAGTGCAAGCCTAGGAACTTGTACCACAGCACTACAGGGTTTAATTCCCAACAGCAACCAAGGGTTATAAATTGGTAGCCTGAATCACTAACCATTTTCCACTGATTGGCTGTATTGTCCAGCCTACAGTGACTTTTTTTTTTTCCAAAGACAAGGCCTCATTGTGTAGTTTAGGCTGGTCTCAAACTTGCAATGATCCTCCTGCCTTAATTTCCTGAGTCCTGGGGGTTACAGGTGTGTGCCACTATGCCCAGCCTACAAGGGACTGTTTATTATTTGTTTTCTATTAAATTTTTGCCACGACTAAGACATATTATATTTCACATAAATGTGAATGTCTACCTTACACTGTACAGGTTAAATATGTTAAAGAAGTTAGTCAAGGGGGGTCCGGAAGAACATGGTGGATAGATAGCAGCAGCCTTGGAGGCTCTCTGAGAAACTGCACTTGAAATCCAGGAATCGTGCCAGGCAGGAAGTCCTAGGCAAGGGGGGATATTCTTTGCCGACCCAGGAACGAACTAAAATAAGAGAAACCAACTAGAAACGCAATCCTGGTGATACAGCAGGAACAGATAAGGTCTAAGCACGGAAGCTGGCCCTCACGCCACTGGAAACTGCAATCTGAATTTCCTGCAGCCGCTGTTGCATCTGGGTTGGCACAGCGGGGAGAAAGCCTTGAAAGCTCGGAGAGTGGGAAGCATTGAATGGAGTTGGGAGCGGGGCTGGCCGGGTACCCTGCATTGACCTGTGGTGAGTGAGCAGATCGGGACCCTTCCATAGAGAAGGAGACTTCAGCAGAGGACATACTCAGACTGGGCATACTTCCCGGAATGAGATGCTGTAGTGACTTCAGTCACATATCCCTCTCTCAAGTGGGATTGGTGGGGAGTGCCCGGCCTGCAAGACGCCATAGGCTGAAATCCAGTAGGCTAGCCCAACCCAGGTCCTAGCGCCTGGAGGTGCACGCTAGCAGTGAAGTCTTTGGTAGGTTGACCTGGAGGGGCAGGCCTGGCATAGACTGCCCAGGTCTGTGTGTCCCTGGTGCACTGCAGTGGGTGGGAACACTTAGCCAGTGCAATTCAAACAGACTGTGGCTGACAGGGAAGGAAGCTGGGCCTCCTATATATGCTTATATATAAGGAACAAAGAATATGGGAAGAGGGAGCAACAAGAAAGGGTCCTCAGCCCCCAATCCTGAGAAACATGCAATAGCAGACACGGCACCAATAGACATAAAGTGCTATCTCCAGAGCCTCATAGACGAGTTCAGGAATAAAGTTATTAATGACCTGAAGCAAGACATAAGCATAATAGTTAGAGAAATGCTAAGCACTGCCCAAGAAAAGACAGATGGTGGAATGGAAAAACAGAAAAAAAGAGGAGAATTGTTTGATGGAGAAAATAGAGAAAGCATAGAATACGTGAAGCAGGTTCAAAGAGATTACCAGGAAACTAAAAACTCTATTGAAAACTGGCATAACAGTTTGAAAGAAACTAAGGATAAATTATCTGAACTGGAGGGCAGATTTGTAATATGGGAGCATGAAATGAAAAACTTCTTAAAAATAACAAAAAAACAAACAGCAACAATACAAAAGCTAGAAGATGATAAGATGATCTATAACTTAAGAATTAAGAACATAAGAGAAGAAGTGGGGACACAAACAAATGGACTAAAAAAGCTATTCACAGAAATAATCCAAGAGAATTTCCCTAATCTAGCGAACGGTAAAGATACTCAGATATATGAGGCATACAGGACTCCAGCCACCTACAACCCAAACAGAGCTACACCCAGGCATATAATAATCAAAATTCCAGAAACCCAATATAAGAACAGAATACTAAAAGCCGTCAGAGACAAGAAACAGATCACTTACAAGGGAACACCCATCAGAATTACAGCAGACTTCTCGGCACAAACCATCAAATCACGAAGAGCGTGGGGAGAAATAATTCAAGCTTTGAAAGATAATAACCTCCAGCCAAGATTGATATATCCTGCACAACTGTCCCTAGAAATTGATGGCAAAACAAGGTGCTTCCAGGATAAAGAGGAACTAGGGGAATTTGCAACCACTAATTCAACTCTACAGAGAATACTGCAAGATAGTCTAAAAAAGGAAAATACCAAGATGCCAGAAATAGTGACAGAGAGGCCACAATGAATGGAGCAGAAAACAAAATGAAGAAGACAAACTGACAACAAAGGACAGAAAAAGAGCTCAACAGAAATGAGAAGATCAGAAGGTAGGAACAGCTATTTTGGAGAAAACAAGACATCATAATAGCTAGTGCTGATTTAGTATCATCTTGTTTTGAAGTCCCATCAAACTTGTATTCTTCTGTCTCCATAGGTCTTAAAAGATTGTATCTTATTGGATTTTATTATATATGATAATATAAGCAAAAACTTTTATAGACAAGGAGTTTATATAGAAACTATTGTTCATTTTCTGTTAATTGGTCCTAAATACCTTGTAATAATGTCATTCTCTTGAATAGTTTTATAGTGTCTTGATATGTGTGGTGCTACAGTATACAAAGTTATACTCAAAGATTTCAAGGAAAGAGACACTATGGTAACTATTTTTATGTCAGGATATCTTGTGGTGAAACACTGTTTTGCTCAAATGGTTATGATTTGACCTGCGCTGTTCTGTTGTTATGCCCTTTTATCTCAGTCCCCTTTTTTTGAATTATTTACTTTTTTCTTTTTATTTTTTTAATTAAGGGAAAAATAAATAAAAAATAGTAGGATACATTATAGTAACCTACTTTGATTTCCTATTAACTTGATTTGAAATTCTGTATTGCCCTCACCATCTTGTTCTGACTGATTTTCCTCTATTCTGCTTTGCTTGATAGTACCAAGTTCGAAAGTATAGGCATAACTGTGAAGACAATAAGAACCATTATGATGCCCATTCTGGTTGACTATTATTTTCTTTTAAAATCCTGTAATGTCTCCAATGCTTTGGTTTTATTCTTTACTGTTTAGTTCAATTTTATTAAAACTGGCAATTCTTCTTAAAATAGCAAGAGGCAGTAGCCATTGTTGATCACCTTATATTTTGTTTTTACATTATCTATTATGTCCATCTTTTTGATTTGACTGACTCTGTTCTGATATGTCGTATTTGGTTTTACTCTCTTTAAAAAAAGTAATAAGAACTGTCGGAGTAATAAAACCCAAAATGTGTAATTGTCATTGTACAAAAGAAAAGAAAGTGCTCTAAAGTTTATAACTGAATATATGTTTAAGTGTATAAGATAGATAACCATATTACTGAGTGTTTTTTGGATCATTGAACAAAACTGTTTGCAGTCTCACTGTTTGAAAGTCCACTTTATATGCTTCAATAATGTAACTTGAACAACTATTTCTAAGGTGAGAATATGTAATCTATTAACTAGTGATTTCTTCCTCATTATTTTTTAAATTTTGTATTACTTGTACCCTTTTTCTGTTTTTTTCCTTTTTCTCCTTAAATAAAAAAAAAGAAGTTAGTCAAAATAAGTGCTAATAGTTTGGGCAATGTGGTGGAGGGGGTCACAGGTAAGATCAGAAATGTTGTCAGAATTAATACTGGTTAATTACAGGTGTTGGGAGTGGAGAGATTGGGAGATACTGGAAAACTGACAACAAATCTGGCATCTGCGGGGAATATTTTTTCACTGTAAGTCTGGGAGTTGGTGTTTGACCTAGTCAACCAGAACTTCACGGAGACAAGTAGGGAAAAGTCAATGTAATCATGTTGTCTCTGCTTCCTTCTTCTCCACCCCAACTCTCACACCAAAAGTTATTGGCAGGATTTCTAATTCGAGCCACGAGGAGAATCATTTTATGCTTTATGTTTCAAACATTTTATGTTTTAGCCTCATCAGACGGTGAGGCCAAGTTAAATAACAAATTGTGGCTCTATTATCCTGCATTCGAATCCCGATCCTTCACTTGCTAGGTAGGTGAATTTGGCAGGTTTCTTAAACTCTCTTGCCTCAGTTTCCTCAACTGGAAAATGGGGGCAATAAGGTACCCATCTAACCAAAGGATTAAATGCCAAATGATTGGTAAGACACACAAAAATAGTCTTCCATAATGGAGCACTTTGCTTTTCTTGGGGTTATTATGACAATTCAGAAGAAGAAAATAGAAAAGGGTCAGGTAGGAAGACTAGGAGGCATGTTCATGGAAATGTTCAAAACTGTATCAAGTCTTCAACTCCCTCATGTGAATCCTCTCTGAATAGAAAGGCAGCTGCTGGATGAGTTTGCTAGCTGGGTAACCAATGTGTCAGCGGCTCCTGCACACATGCGTGTAGTTTATGCCCTTCTCTGGCTGGGTGCAAAAGGTAAGTACACATTTGATGAGATAAATTCTTGCTAGATCTCTGTCCCTTTCACTGAAGGTGAAAATTCAGGGTAACATAGTCTTGCTGACCTTGGGATTAAAACTTTGCATTCAGTCACAATTAGGGAACATTGACTGTATACCAGGTTGGTCATTTCAGTAATTTTTTTTTGTATTTTTGAGATAGGATCTCTCTGTGCAGTTCAACCTGGACTTTAGTTCACTATTGTAGCCCAGGCTGACCTTGAACTCACAGAAATGCTCTTACCTCAGCCTCTCTAGTTCTGGGATTACCGGAATGCACCACCATGGCCAGCCATTTCATAATTTTAAAAAATGAATTTATCCCCATTTCATAGATGAAAGCACTGATACCCAGAGATGTGAAGAAGCAAGTAGGCTGGGAAACGAACCTTCAAGTACAAGGATGATAGAAAAATACGGTGACTCTTCAAATTAAAATAAACACATTAAAATGTATATTAGATATTGGGAAACAGGAAGAAAATGTTCAAATGGGAGAAAGAAAGGAAAAGTTAAAAAAATGAGAAAAGAAGGAAAAATAGAAACAAAGTTTTTGTAAATGAGGAGAGGAGGAGGGCTTGAAGGGAGCTAGGGGAAGGGGAAAGAAAGAATCAAGTTATATCACCTACAGGTACAAACTCTCTGTGATGAATGTGGTCGTTATGTATATCTAAAATGTATCAATAAAATCTGATTGAAGGAAAAAAAAGTTATTTCACTGAAAGACATTTTACCAAGAATGATGGAATACACATGTCTGGAGCCAAGGGGAATATTTTGAGTACTTTGATGGAGATTAATACAGTCTGTCTTTTATTGTAACACATTTAAAAACTTAAACATTCATCTTACGTTTTGATCATCCCTGTTGGTCAACAATTGATGGCAATTTCTGTCAAATAAAAAGCATGACAGTGATCTTTATCTACTTTTCATACTGTTCTGGCAGCATGTAACTTCTGGTTTTTTCCCAAAGTCAAAAGGATCCAGAAATGTCAACATTTTGAATCCATTCAGGGCTTTGAGGTAGCCATGACAGTGCAACTAAAGACACTCACGAAAGAGGACCTCCAGAACGGCTTCAGAAGGCGGTGAGCATAGAGTCAGGCATGGTGGCGCAAGCCTGAAATCCAGCATTTGGGAGGATGAGGCAAGGAAGTCTCCTTGAACACAAGGCCTGGACTATGTAGCGAGTTGAGTGAGACTTTGTCTCAAAAACAAAACAAAACACCAATCAAACAACCTTCCCTCAAAACCCCCAAACCCCAAACCAAACCAAAACAAAAAAACCCATAAAATGATAACAGCAGTGACAACAGTAAACCCCAAAACTAAGCAGCACAGAAAGTGCCAGGAAAGATGGGATATGTGTGTTCAAAGCAAAGGAGGTGGATTTATGCCAAAGTGTCTTTTAGTGTAATAAGTTAACAAAGTAGACATTTGTTGTATGTTTTAATTATGTCTTGTAGAATCTTCTCCTATGACACTGCTGTGTTGAGGCAGAAGTTGCCTTTGATTTTGGGCCTCTTAGTCTAATAGGAGCAAGATAAGGCCACAGAGGTCGCCCCGTCCCCACCTCCCACCACAGCACCCTCTCACCTTCTCCATTTGGGCCCAGTAGTCCAGCACGTCGCTTGCAAAGTTAAATTCCTTTGGTACATCATGGTCATTCCAAATTGGAGCGCCGACCTCCGAGAAAGACTGGCAGCGCAACTGGGGAGGGACACGATGGAAGGTTTGGAAGGATTTGTGGATGCACGGGAGCACCCGGAGCCTCATAAGCCACTGCATAGTGGGAAGAGTCCTCAGCAACTGGACAGAATTCTCAGGTTTCTACCTAACCAGGAGAGAAACAGCTTATAGTATGGTGATGCAACAGGGAGTGTTTCCAAATAGTGACTCATGTTTCTGGGTCATTGCCAAAGTTATCGCTTGAATTTAGTTTGCCAGAGCCTGGAAGACATAGCTTAGTGGACATTTAGCTTCCCAATTGAGGAATCGACCACAAGGCACAGCATTCTGCATCGGTATACATTCTTGGAGTCATCTCAGCTTTAAGCCCAGGATAGGAGCCACATGGTGCAGCATCTTTTGTAGTAGAAACTGACCATTTTGAAAGATTCTATATTCCAGATTCTCTTACTCTGGAGGCCTCTCTTTCCATCACATCCAGTCTTGAGGTTCTCACAGAGACTGTCTGATATTCTCTGGCTCAAATTACTAGGCTCAAGGTTAAGCAGTTCTATAATTTTTAATCTAAGCTTGGCCAAAAAAAAAAAGTCCTTCTAACTGCTCTTGTGTGTAACCGGTGCTGAGGAGAAGGTAAGTCTGTCTCTCTCTAGAGGAGGCCATACGATGCACACTGAGGGTGGGGGAAGCCTGTCTGTGGCTATGATTCCCATTCTGTGGAGAAAGAAGCGGGTGTTTAGAGATGTGGAGAAGAAAGGCGGCTACAACCCTGAAGACATTTGAGTCACTGGTTTATGTTGGTTCTGAGACCCCTCTGCCTCTCTGCTCCTTTCTTATTAACATTCTTCCCTGGACTCTGAGAACCAACAATTTCTTCTTTGCCTGAGTTTGGGTTTTTGTCACTTGGGACTCCATAAATTGTCACACACTGCCATCCTTGGGGCTGACACTGCTAGCATGCTAGTACCTTCCTTACTGGCCTGGAATGTAATCTCAAGATATTCCCCAGGACAGTGTGCTGGGCAGGGATTCCCAACCCATCAGAAAGAATGAATGCAAACCTCTTTGCCCTTTCAGAGCCTGAAAAATGTATCCAAGAAGGAACAGAACTCTCATTATTAAGGTCCTCCTTGAGTCTGGATTTTGAAATTAACTTAACTATAACATATTTACCTTCTGTAAACACATATTTGCTTTTGATCCAGCCTTAAATGATTAGAAAAACCTGTATTTGAAAGATTAAGTATTTGGAAGTTAACTTCAGATTTCATAGCCTGGATTGAGCTGTCTAATGGCAATAATTAGATTGACAGCTTCTTCTGATCTACAGCACTCTAATTTTACTGTAGACGTGAGTATGTTGCAGGGTGTAAGCCCCCAGGCACAGGTCCTTCATAGACACTGCTTGTTAATTGCCACTTGCAACTTCATTTTATTTTTAATTGACAAGTAATAATTTTCTGCACTTTTCGGGTACAAGGGGTTACTTTGATCTATTCATGAAAATGTTGGCAAAAGAGAGCCACCTGTCAAACATATTTGAAATTCAAGCACTTTATTACCATGAACAATTAGGTACCCTCTTCAGTTTCAGCAATAATATGCTACTTTTTGACAACAGATTAATAGAGTTGATGAGTAAATCTAGTAATGGCCAGTGACACTAGATTCTTTCTTTCTTTCTTTCTTTCTTTCTTTCTTTCTTTCTTTCTTTCTTTCTTCCTTCCTTCCTTCCTTCCTTCCTTCCTTCCTTCCTTCCTTCCTTCCTTTCTAATCAACACCGACTGGAGCTGAGAATTGTCTGTTTCATTTAAATGGCATTTTCTCCAAGCTTACCTGTTTCCCACCACTCCTTGTTTTTCTCACACCTGTTTGCTTTTCTACTTACTGTAGCTGTTCAGTCCCTGTTGACCTAACAGCTTAAAATTGCTGACATAGGTGGGAACCTGAGGAGGGGCAGGGTTTTCCTCAAGGTTGCAAGGCTGCCCTGTCTACTAGTTTTATCGGTGCCTCCTTCCATAGGTATGAGCTGATTTAGAGTGAGAACTCGAGTTAGTTACTGTGTTTCTACACAGAGGTTTTAAAACTGGCTTTTCCCCAAAGGCAGTGCAAACAACTCTTAAAAAATGGCTAAATGCCAAAACAAAGAGAGAGATACAATGACCTTTTATTATGGGCTAGAGTATGTGTCCCAAAATGTATCTGTTGAAGTCCCAATCCCTAAAATTCAGAATGTGACTGTGTTTAGAGAAGGCAATTGCATTAAACATGAGATCATTAGAGATGTGGCTGGTTTCCTTCTAAGAGATTAGTAACACAGATGCACATAGAGGGACAATGCCATGGGAATATGGGGACAGCCATCCACAAGTTGAGAAAAGAGGTTTCCAAATTTTCACCTTGATCTTGGGCCTCCTGCCTTTTGAACTCTGAGAAAATACATTTCTGCTAAGTCACTTAGGCTGTGATAATTTTCCACAGTTGTTCTAGTGAACTAACACAAATAGTTCTTGATATTTGAGAGTTGATCAAATAAAGAATCCTTTAGTTAGGCATCATTTTACAAATCTGTTTGTAGTTCTAGTTTAATCTCATTTGAGAGGCCCTGGTAGGGGAGAGTGTAGCCTCTGGGACCAAACAGTTCAGGTTTAGATTCCAGCTCCTCAGCACCTCATCAGTTTAGGCAGTTTACTTAAACTCTCTCTAAAAACACTGAAAAATTCGCAGCATTTACAGAGGAAAGAGTGGCATGCTGTGTGTCACATTTAGCACCAGTGAAACACAGATAGTTACACTAGGAATTAGTTATTAACAGTCTCTGTGAAACTCTCCCCATGTAATTAAATTTGGCCAAAAGAAACGGCTCCTTCATTTTTGGCCTAGAGTCTAAAAAGGAAGTAGAGACAGATTCCTTTAACTAGACACTGCAGGGTCCCAATGTACACTCATACACAGTTACGTAGAAACTTGGTCTTCCAGGGCTCAGAAGACTAAAAGTCAGCGATACCTACAGAAGCGTTGATCAAAATATACAGCGAATGCTAACCTCTTTCAACATACTCCCCCTCGATTCAAATACACTTATCCCACTTTTCTTGCCAATTTCAGAAGTATTTCTGAAAGTTCACTTTTCTGTGTGTCTTTACAGGGTGTGATCCAAATTACAGTGCGCGTTGCTGCCGAGTGCTGTCCAGTAGAAAGGCAGGCTTGTAAAAGCACTAAGGAGTCTCCTCACTGACTTTATTAACTGGATCTGGCACTGTGTAACTTCTGGATCTTCCCCCAAATCAAACTGACCATGAAAAGTAAATTTTTTGAATCCACTAGGAACACAAAGGGAGCCAGAACAGCTCAACTAAGGACACTTGTGAAAGAGGACTTCTGTAAATGAAAGTAGCCATTGTTGATCACCTTGTATTATGTTTTTATATTATCTATTATGTCCACCCTTTTGACTTGACCAATTCTGTTCTGTTATGTCTCATTTGGTTTTACTCTCTTCCAAAAAACCAATAAGAACCGTGAGAGCAATGAAACCCAAAATGTGTAATAGTCATTGTACAAAAGAGAGGAAAAGAAAGTGCTCTAAACTATATAACTGCATGTATATTTAAGTGTATAAGATAGAAAATGATATCACAGAGTTTTATTGGATCATTGAACAGAACTGTTTGCAGTATCATTGTTGGAATGTCCACTCTACAAGCTTTAATTTTGTGACTTGAACAATTATTTCTAAGATGGCAATATGTAATCCATTAACTAGTGATTTCCTACTGTTCATTTTTTTCTTCTGTAAATCTGTATAACTTGTACCCTTTCACTGTTTTTTCTTTTCTCCTTAAATAAAAAAAAAAGAAAGTAGCAAGAATGACAGAATATATGTGTTCAAGGTGATGGGAGAATATTTAAGGGGGTACTGGCACTGTTATTTTTTACAGTAAGACATTTTTTAAAAGGTAAGCATTCACCATATCTTTGATTACATGACATATATCTATCTCTAAATGTACATTTATCTTTATAACTATACACATAATTATATCAATGTGTACATTCCACCTATACATCACTGTACATCTATATGTCACTGTATACCTACAATACTATTGATTTATATATATATATCAATAACTACATCTATACTGTCTGTATCTTTTTATTCCTCATAGTGTTTGATATATAGCAAGCACTCAAATTGTTAAGTGTCTTCCCTTTTGTCATAATTCAGTAAAGCAAGGAGAGAAAAACCAGTGTATTCACAAACACTACCAGAGATCAATCAGATTGAAAGAGTTCCTACCCCCTTGGGATATAGGGTCTAAGGGTGCTGTATGATACGGTTTTAAAGAACAATCTTTTGAAGTACTTTAAAGTCCTTTCAGAAGTCTACATGGCAAGGTGGCTCATAGAGCTCAGGTATGTAGTATCTTGAACATTTTCTATAGTCAACTGGTATCACAAGCTTTAGAAACTTCTAAGCAACATAGTTAGTGGGTTATAGGTGACAGAGTGAGAGTTGAAGTTTGGTTTGGTGATTCTGGACACTGTTCATGCCTTTAGTCTTATAGGCACATTAATAACTTACTTTACAACTTCTTACAAGGCTTAGTGAGATGTCTACATAAATCACATCTCCAGCATAAGGCCTGGAGCAAATGCTGAGGCACCCTTCAGTTCCCCTTAGTTGTGAAGCCAGCTCCCTCCTCATTGGATTGTTTTCAAAACTTTATGAAAGGCATGCACTTTACAGAAACTGAACCGACTTCTGCATAGCGAAGTTTTCTATCAACGTTTCCCTCCTGGCTCTGCTCTCTCTTCCCACAGTGAGTTGCCTTACATTAAGTCAATCACGTCTATGAACCTGGAAGACACACAGCACACACATATTCCCCTGTACTCCTCTTATGTATTGTCACCATCCTTATTTTGCAGTTAAGGAAATGAAGTGTCAGAGATGGTAAGCGACTTGTCCTTAGTCACCATGTAAGTGGAATTGCCAGAACTTGATAATTTGACTTTGGACAATTTTTTTTTACTAGGACTTGAGCTCAGAACCTTGAGCTTGTCAGGCAGGTACTTATGCCACTTATTCCCCAGCCCTTGATTTCGGACTTTTAAATTTAAGGCTTCTGTGGTATGTGCATGAGCCTCCCTTCCCCACTCTAAAGAAGCTGCTGTTTGCCTGTCTCTTACCTGGTACTGTTCAAGATACAGTGGGGCTCCGTCCTGGCAGGCTTTGTAGTTCTGTTGTCTGTGCTTAAGTCCTTCTCCAAAGTATGTGTGTGCACAGTTGAATGTGCCTCCTGGCTGAACCTTGAGCAAGAACGTGTCTGGAATTGGATGATTCAGCAGGGGGAGGAGATGCTCAGTGAAATAGGGCAGAAAGCAATCACAGGGCTTCCAGTGAAATCAGAAAGACAATTTTCTAAAAGCACCTCCAGGTTATCTGGTATAACTTAGGGTGTGAAAGAACAACAACCTGATGAAAATCTTCACTCATTGTTTATTGAGAGGATTATATGTCACAAAATCTGTGGAGGGCCTGGCCTCACGACTTGGATCCTGGTCTGTTATTGATGTTGTGTTGTTACCCTAGTTTGCCATAGGAAGTGGCCTATACTATACTTTCCAGCTGGAGCTGGGTTGGGTGTGTGTGAGTGTGTGTGTGTGTGTGGGGGGGAGTTGTGAGAAAATGGGAAGTTCCAGGACCCCTCCCAGCTTTCACAGCATATTTACCCTCCCAACTTCCTTTGAATCTAGGTGAAAATTACCTCTGCTCAAAGTTACCACAAGATCATTGCAGGCAGCGTTGAGGAGTAAGCTTGGCTTAGAAGTTGAGTCTTGGGTCAGGGATATAGCTCAGTGGCACAGCACCTGCTTGACAAGCACAAGGTCCTAAGTTCTATTCCTGATCAAAACAAAATAAAACAAAACAAAAAGTGGGCGTCATGCTTCCTGGCTGATTCATTGGGGCAAACATTTTATCTGGGCTTTACTCTTAGGGAGAAAATTGGGTGAGAAGGGTGGGCACAGTAAGCTGCACATTAAACTCTCAAAGAATCAAAGTACAAAAGCCTGTTACTGAAGCAGAAAGGTGATCACTTTTGAGAAGAGAATGCAGGGAAAAGGAAGAGCCCAGAACACACACTTTGCATCTCAGTGGGTGTCCCCAGCAGAACTACAACACCAGCATATGGTAAAAAGGACAGTCCTCTGGGCGAAGCAGCTTGGATATGAGCTTAACTTTTACCAGTGACCAGCTCTGAGACAGTGAGCAGGTTTCTTAGCCTTCTGTAGCTCAGTTCCCATATCTTTAGCAAACGGTGGACAATAGAGACAAAAAGAACTCTCTGAAGATTCCACAGTCATGCACAGACTCTCCTGTAGCCATCCCAGGTCACTGATGCCAGTTGTGGGCAGCTAACTCCAAGTGCAAGGGACAGGGCTTTTAAAAGAAAGATATTAAATACCCTAGTCACTTTTCTTCTGATTTAGTGCTACTGGAAACCACGTGTGTAGATACGGGCATTACAAATTGGCAGACACTTTTAGTCATAGGAAGTGGCCTATGGTTCTCTGAGTGATTGTATACAGTCAAATCTGTTTTTTTTTTTTTGAGTGAAAGTACTGGGGATTGAACGTGGGGCCTTCGCACTGAGCTACATATCCAGATCTATTTGTTCGTTTGTTTGTTTGAGACAGGGTCTCTCCTAGTTCATAAGTTGCCCAGGCTGGGCTTGAGTTTGCTATCCTCCTGCCTCAACCTCCCAGAGGGCTGGGAAGGCATGGCAACCTGGACCACACATATCACTACCTTTCCTAGTCCTATACCAAACCTATTGTTCATTCATTTACTTACTAGACACTTAATGGGCATCTTCCAGATGTGAACATGGCTTTGAAAACACCTGACTGAGATTATTGCTCCCAAAGTATTTACATTCCCCTGATAGAGAGGCCAAAGAAATAGTGGATAAGCAGATAAGAAGATAGACAAGAACAAAGCGGAAAAGTGTAACAGGTTGGTGTGACTATGTTAATAGGAAGGGGTGAGGTGGGTGATAGGTCTGAAGAGGGGGGAGAAGAGGAGGTTTGGCGGCAGTGGTGGCTGAAAAGATAAGAAGTATAAAATATAAGTAACCTTTATTTCGAGAATGCGGGGAGAGACACCCCCGACCCCCCGGGGCGCAGCATCTCCACCCCTGGGCCTGCGATCTCTCCTTGGAACACGTGGAGTGAGGCACATAAGTAGCCTCGGCCTGGGGTGGACCCAAGGGGCATTAGGGATGTACAGGTAGCCCATTGGTCTTAGTTTGGCGCCAGAGGTAGGTTTCTAAGGGTGGGGGTATAGGGTTACAGGTAAATCTCTAGGGGCGGGGCAGGCAGGAGCTCCCTAATTCTGGCTGAGGCTTTTTCTGGCTATAGTGTCCGGTCTGGGCCAGCAACCCTTTCAGTGGGGAGGAGAAGAAGTCAGCTTTGAGAAATGACTAGCAAATGGAAGTCACAAAAAGCACAAAAGCTTGAGGCTGCCTTTTCAAGGAACAGATGGGCGACCAGTGTGCAGATGACTGAACGATACATGTGACAAGCAGTCAGGCTTTTTTTTTTTTTTTGTCTTTTTCCTTTTTATCGGTACCGGGGATCGAACCCACGACTGTCTGCTTGCAAGCAGTCAGGCTTTTTGATTATTGTCTGTTGTTTTCTCTATACTAGGAATGCAAAGTCTTTGGTGGCGTTAATCTTGTCTGTTGTGTCCAAAGCCTATAGCCCTAGAAAATGTTATTAAGTGTCTGTTAAATGGATGAATGAACTATACACGGGGCTGTCAGAGGATTAAGAAGGAGAGTGAAAGCAGAGGGCCCAGGTTTCCATATCAATATTGTACCTGTCTGAGAAGTTGAGGCAGGAGGATCTCAGATCAAAGCCCAGCCTGGGCAACTTAGTTACATAGTGAGATTTCTCTCAAATGAATGAATAAAATAAACAAAACACAGGCAGAAGACATGCCAGGAAGGACCTTAACAGCCATAACAACGAGACTGAATTCTACCCTAAGTGCAATGGGAGGTTTTGAGAGGATTAAAGAGGAAAGAGATAAGAAATGAATTTCCTTGGTTGTTTCATATTGAGCTAAAATAATATAGGAAAGTAAAGCATTATGAAAAGTACCAGCTGCATTTTAGAAAGTCCAGGGTTGTAAAGGGCAAGAACAAATGTGGGGATGTTCCTTAGTTGGCTACTGCAGTAGGGTCAGAAAGTAATAGTGGAGGCTCAGACAGGAAAACAGCTCTGGAGATGGCGAGGGGTAAGCAAATAGAGAATAACAGACTTTTGAGTTCCTGTAAGGAAGATTTGCTCATGTTTTGATAGGGAATAATGGACCTCAGCCTTTTGACTTCTGCAGTGGTATGTATGGTAGGTCATGATTTATATATGAAGAAAGTGATGCTAAGAGACTGTATAACATGCCCAAAGTCACCCGAGTGCTATGAAGCATAGACAGGACTTCAGTCCTGGTTTTATTTAGCCTAGTTTTCTCTGCTCAAGTATCTAACAATATTCAGCCCTGTCTTACTTACCATAGTTTCCTATTTCAAATCCTAGTTTCTTTTACCAAAAGTATAGATATGGTTTGGTCAACTGAGGTCTTTCTTGTTCTGAAGAATTGGGAATGGATAGGATGAATTGTCATTGTCTTTTCATTCCCTGATCAATCTTAGCAGTCAGCATCAGGGGGAAAAACTTGTGTCTAGAATTGAGACTACTATAGAATCCCTTTATGAGTTCATTTTTTTTTATTTAAAAAAAGATTAAGATAAAAGAGGACATAACAACACGGGTCAGAACAGAACAATTTAAACAACATAGGGTTTCACCACAAGACAATCTGACATAACAGTAGCTACCATAGCGTCTCTTTCCTTGAAATATTTGAGTATACCTTCATATACTATAACATCAAACATAAAAAGACAGTGTAAAACCATGCAAGAGAATGAAAGTATTACAGGGTATTCAGAACCAACTAACAGAAAACAAACAATGGTTTCTATATTACCTTCTTGTTTATAAAAGTTTTTGTTTATATTATCACATATAATAAAATCCAATAAGATACAACATGATAAAACAGATGGAGACCGAAGAACAAAAGCTTGGTGGGACTTCAAAACAAATCATCACTAGCTATTATAATGTCTTGTTTTCTTCAAAATAGCTGTTCATACCATCACAGACAATAAAATCAAACAACCCAGAATAAAACCATTCCAATTAATGAATGAAAACATTATAAGGCTTCAAAGCAATATAAGGAGGAATCATGATTACCACATACTTTTATGTATTTTTACCATTTCTTACACTAGGTATTTAGTATTTATAAATGTGAGTTTGACTTATTTCGCTTATGAATATGGTCTCAAGCTGTGTCCATTTATTTAAAGTATCTCAATGTGATCATTCTTTATAGCTGAGTAGTACTCCATTGTATAAAAATATCACAACTTTTTTATTCATTCCTTAGTTGATGGACACTTAGGTTGTTTCCAAGATCTGGCTATTACAAATTGTGCTGCTATAAACATGGGTGCACATATATCACTGTGGTATAATGTTTTCAGTTCTCCTGGGAATATGCCTAGAGGTGGAATAGCTGGGTCAAATGGGACTTCCAATACCAGCTTTCTGAGAAATCTCCAGACTGACCTCCACAATGGTTGCATCAGTCTACACTCCCACCAACAGGGCAGGAGAGTTCCTTTTTCCCCAAAGCCTTTCCAGCATTTGTTGTTGGTAGTTTTCTTGATCCTGGCCATTATTTCTGGAATGAAATGAAATCTCAGTGTGGTTTTAATTTGCATTTCTTTAATGAGTAATGATGATGAACATTTTTTCATGTATTTATTTGCCATTTGTATTTCTTCATCTGCGAACTGTGTATTCATCTTGGATGTCCATTTTTGGATTGGATCCTTGAATTTTGGGGGTCTGATTTTTAAAAAAATTCTTTATATATTTTAGAAAGAAGTCCTTTGTCTGAGGGACAGTTTACTAAGATTGTTTCCCAATTTGGAGGTTTTCTTTTCACTATGCTAGAGATTTCTTTTGACACGCAGAAACTTTTTAATAAGACATGATCCCAGTTGTTGATTCTGGGAAGATTTCCCATGCGGTTTGATTCCTGTCCATGAATTCTCTACCTACTCCTATGTCTTCAAGGTTTTTATTCAATTTGTCTTCCAATAGATTTAGTACTTCTGTTTTAATATTCAGATCTTTGATCCATTTAGATTTTAATTTAGTACATGGTGATAGACATGGGTCTAGTTTTAGTTTTCAGCAAAAGGAGAGCCAGTTTTCCCAACACCATTTATTAAAGAGATTGTCGTTCTTCCAGTGAACATGTTCAGCCCCTTTATCAAAGATAAGGTGGTTGAGTGTGTTTCTAGTTGTGATTGTATCTTCCAATCTATTCCATTGATCTTTGGCTCTGTTTTTATTCCAGTACCATGCTGATTTTACTACAGTTGCTTTGTAGTATAACTTCAAGTCAAGGACTGTGGTGCCTCCTGCATTGCCTTTGCTACTTAGAACTGTCTTTGCTATTCTAGGTGTCTTCTGGTTCCAGATGAATTTTAGGAGTGATTTCTCTATGAGGTATGTTGATGGTATTTTTATTGGAATTGCATTGAATCTGTATAACAGTTTTGGGAGAATGGCCATTTTCACAATATTCTTCCTATCCATGAGCAAGGGATGTCTTTCCATTTTCTGAGATTGTCTTCAAT